GCACCAACAACTAGTGAATGAAATAAGAGAAGTGATTCACGAAGTTTTATCGAAAGGACATGACTTGGTGTTCCAGTGGTTACCGGGACATTGTGGTATTGTCGGTAATGACCTTGCTGATAATGCTGCCCGATCCGCCCACGCGGACGCCCAGACAACCCCAATTCCATTGTCGAGAACCGACGCTGCAAGGGGCCTTCACTCGTTCGCTAACACCATGTCGGAAACTTGGCTGAGTGACCCCAGTGTCAGGAACCGCCGCCTACACAAATTGGACCCATCGAGAAAGCTTCAAGTTCCATCGGACCTCTCCCGCCAGGATGCAACTTTACTGTGCCGCCTGTGGTTAAGAGTAGCTTTTACAAAGGCGTACTCCTTTCGCATAGGAATGGCGGATAGCTCCCGATGTGAATCGTGCGACACTGACGAGACAATAGAACATCTACTGTGTTCATGTGAACGTTTTGCGAGCGAACACAACTTGCTACGCGAAACGTTAGAGACACTAGACAGTAGACCTTTTTCCGAAGAGAAGATACTTGGCTCATGGCTCTACGCGTCGCTGGCCAGCAAAGCGACGCGGGCACTGCTAAGTTTTCTGAAGACGACCGGACTACGCGACCGCTTATAAGCGTGCAATGGACAAGGTCCCACCAACATACACGTTGCCCTTCACTTCTCTCTCTCTTCTCCTTTAATCCCCTCACCCCTTCCCCCAGTGCAGGGTAGCAAACCGGACGTGCGTCTGGTTGACCTCCCTGCCTTTCATTTCTTCCCTTCCTCCTCCTCCTCCTCCTCCTAAAATTAACTGGCATTCAATAAAATGCTGCTTCTGCCCATCGCTTTGTTCGTCAGATGCATGCTGAGTAAGTATAGGCCTGAATGCGACAGGTTTGTTAGCCGGAAGCATGGTGTACGTCTACAATTTATAGGTATATTCTTACGCTATTGCTTGGAAGCGATTCCTTCGACTTCGCTAATCGGAACAACGCAGATGCGACCATGGCATTGAAGCGATTAATACTGCGCACCTGAAATCTTAGCAGCAAGCACCGGTGACAAGTAAAGGAACGTGCGTTTTCACAAGAGCACAGGCTAACTTCTTTCCTCGAGCGGCAGCTGGCGTTGAATAACTAGAAGCAATCGTTTCTAGCACGCTCACTTGATCTACTACGTATACCGAGCGCTTGAAACCAAGAAGCGAGGCAGTGACGTAGGGGGCGATTAAAAAAAAAATACGACGGAAAGTGTGCAGGAAAAGGCGAGGTTGTGAGGACTGAATGTATAAAAAGTAACTCATGCAGTCGGAGCTATAGCAGGCGTTGCGGCATGTGCGACGCGGCGAGTGTTTTTTAGCTTGCAAGACGGGTTGTACTGGCAGCACTCCTAAAACCCGCCTCATTCACACGGGCCCTCGTTTTATAGACGACAAGCGCTTCAACTGCCAACAGCGCATTCATAATGGTTCAAGACGCCGATGCTGCGAAAGCGGCTGGTTCTTCTGTACTGAACGGGAAGGCGGATAAAGCATGCGCCGATCGGTAAGTGTGTGCGGCTTCATTCTAACTTGCTCCACTACCTTGCATTTTTTTTTCTATAGTTACAAGGTGTCTCAGCTAGATCGCATTTGATATGGGGCCGGTGTTCGTAGGTCTAAATATTCTGAAAAAAAAACTAGTCTGCTAGAAAAGAGAACTCCGCGCAAAATTTGTTGACATATATGACGTATAGTCTGTAAGACTGTTTATTAAAAAACTCTCTGTGCTGTTCATTCCCAGTTGAGCTGGAGGACGTTGCGTGTGTGTGTGTGTGTGTGTGTGTGTGTGTGTGTGTGTGTGTGTGTGTGTGTGCGTGCGTGCGTGTGCGTGTGTGTGTGCGTGTGCGTGTGCGTGTGCGTGTGTGTGTGTGTGTGTGTGTGTGTGTGTGTGTGTGTGGTGTGTGTGTGTGTGTGTGTGTGTGTGGTGTGTGTGTGTGTGTGTGTGTGTGTGTGTGTGTTGTGTGTGTGTGTGTGTGTGTGTGTGTGTGTGTGTGTGTGTGTGTGTGTGTGTGTGTGTGTGTGTGTGTGTGTGTGTGGTGTGTTACGCTCACTTTTCGGGCAGCTCCATCGAACGTCAGAGTGGCAAGAAAGTGTATCTTGGATAATCACGCGCAAATAAAAGTGCGCGTGCAAACCCTTGGATGCAGAAGGATTAGAGGGGTGAGTTGGACTATAGGTGGTCCGTATTCACTGCAGGCATATTTAATTAGCGCTTAAAAGCAATGGACAAGGTAGAGACGACAGACAAGACAACAGACAGTTGAAGTTATGCGCTCCGTCCCGTCTGTCGTCATCTCTACTTGGTCCATTGTTTTTGTGCCAATTGGTTATACCTCTGAATGGTTTACAACAAAAGCGGGAAGTGGTTAGTGCTTTTCAAACGTCCTTTTTTGATCACTCGCTGGCTAAAGCAGAGGCGACGCTTGTACGCTTGGCACGCACGCGGAAGTAAATCATCTGTGTTGTTGTATCGCTTGTGTTGAGCATTTCTCCACGTCCCGCATGCTGGGCACGTAGCTTGTTGTTTTCGTTTCCTTAATTCCCCGACTACCGCATTTTATAGCTATTCTGTGCACTGTACGCGTGCTTGTGTCTCTTTCATTGTGCATACCTTTGCACAATGAAACATATACTCGTCAAATATTCCTCAACATGGAATGTCACAGAGGCCCACGTTTCGGCTAGCGGTTTCCGTTGCAGGTTTAAAGACGGCATGACCTTCACTCCAGTAACACTCCTCGTTCAAGAATTTCTTGTCTCTTTAAGCTTGCCCCACCGTGGTGGTCTAGTGGCTAAGATACTCGGCTGCTGAGCCGCAGGTCGCGGGATCGAATCCCGGCTGCGGCGGCTGCATTTCCGATGAAGGTGGAAATGTTGTAGGCCCGTGGGCTCAGATTTGGGTGCACGTTAAAGAACCCTAGCAGGTCTAAATTTCCGGAGCCCTCCATTACGGCGTCTCTCATAATCAAATGGTGGTTTCGGGATGTTAAACCCCACATATCAATCAATCATCCCTTCAAGCTTCCATGTTTTCCTCAACTTATTTAATGCACTTGAAACGAATAGTATTTTTTCCTGTTTTTTTTTACCCTTTGTCGTTAATTTCAACAGTCAGCTTCAGCAAAGGGTAAACAAATATCTCTAAACAAGGGTGCGTTCCCATAGCCTTTACAACTATGGTTGTAAGGGCTAAGATAACGCACCTTTGTTGAAAGATATCCATTTACCCTTGACTTTCTCTGCTTCACCCACTGAATTAGTAGGCGTCCGTCAAAACGAGTCAACGAATATGTGTTTTCATTGCTCTATAGGCTTCCGTACTACATATGCTCGGCGAGAGCCTGAGGCGGATGCCGCAAAAAAGTGGACTACGCGACGTTTGCCCGGCCCTTTATTATGATCGGCCAGCTTCCCTGTTTCTTAAGCTTTACGTGGATAGTGACAACTTTTTTTTTAAATTCGAAAACCTGGCTTTCATGAGTTGGTGTTGGCACTGCCAGTCGCGGCGTAGTCGCAACGTGAAAGCATTGGCACGCAGACCTGATTTTGTTTTCATGACTCAGGAATCAAGACATGATTCCGACGCAGCCGGCGGCGACCTGCTCTTGGCTTCCGTCCTGCGTGAACCGCAAACTGCTGCCCTTCAAGCTGCACTACTTTTATTCATCGCAGGTTAGTGATGTAAAAACGAAGTGGGTGACCTGCGCGGCTGAGTATGCTTGGCCTACTCTAAAATAGAGATGGGCCTAGTAGATAAGAAGAACATTACTGATGTGCACATGATGGCGACAGGTGAATATGGGCCCCCTGGTTTTGGCGACTCGCTGGCCCTTTTTTGGGGATGGCCAGCTGGCTTCCAAAGTCGAGTTTGGAAAGGCACGCCTCCCAAGACCAGTTTTTTTTTTTTTTTTAGTGAGTCCATAATTAGCGTCGTCGGCTGGGCTCATCTGGCGTTTGTATGTGTCATATGCCAGAGGGCTGGAACGTTGGCGCCTCACACCGATCACGTTGGATATGAAAGTGCCAAGAAACTAACGGCACATGTAAGCTGGTGAAATTAGGTAAAGCGTGAATATAAAAAGGAGCCTACTGAAAGAACTTGAGATGTTATGAGACTATAGCCAGTCGAGAAATGCAGAGAGTTCGATGGAGTAAGGAAATTAGAAGCTCGTAGCGATGAAATAAAAACATCTGGCACATTTTATGGTAGACAAATAATTTGGAGGAGCCCTCACCCTGCAGTGGACATTAACAGACTGAAAATAATTCAACAGACTGAAAGGAGGCGCTGACAGTTCAGATATAAAAAAAAAGGAATTGCAACATGTTCCTAGACCATTATTTGAAGACAACGTTGAACACACGTGATGTGGAACGTTGAAAGGCGTTTCTTTACGAGATTCTTCACGTCGCCTCCCCGACTTGAAGCGCAGAATGCAAGTTGACTTCATGCACTTGCTTGTTTTTTTCTCTGTAGGAGAGGCTGGCGTCGGACCATATATCGCCGTCGTGGGAAGACGAAATGGTATAGGTCCGGCTACGATGGCGGTCATATTCGCCATCATGCCACTCACGGCGGTCGTCTTCAAGCCAGTGTGCGGTTACATTATCGACCGAAACCCGGAACGTCACCGCCGTCATCCTCGTCCTGCAAGTTATGTGCACTGTATTTTACGGTATCGCTTTCTTCTGCCCCAGTGCCATATCTGACGGTGCGACATACCAGGGTCATCTGAGTTGCCCGCTGGGGGAGTTCGACATCACTGGGACTTCGAGATCGGAACGGTGTCCTCACAGTGGAAGTGGTTCCTTAGTTTGTGTGCTGTCAACGGAAAAACGTGTATGGGAAGGGGTCAGCGTCAGCCTTATCTTGGACGACAAAATAGTGTTGGCCAATGGGTCTGAACCATGTAAGAACTTTCGCAATAACGAGTCGAATACAAACGACTTCCTCTTCATTCCAAGTGATATGAAGTGCTCTTGTGACGCTGCACTGTACCATAACCGAAACTTCTGGATCTACGCTGTTTCCGCAATCCTGGGCTTCGCTTTGGCCGCAGCGCTGAACAGCGTTGGTGACGCCGCCGTTAGCAACGCACTTGGTTCTGACATTGAAATCTTCGGCAGACAACGTCTCTTCGGCACGCTAAGCTACGGAATGACGTCGCCTCTCATAGGATACTTAGTGGACGTCGCCAGCAGTGAAACCTTTACCGATTACAGGCCGTGCTTTTATGTGTTCGCTAGTGCCATGCTTTTGGACATGATTCTCATCCTCGCCGTCCCTAGGATGCGCGTCGCCGAAGTCTCCGTCAACTTCTTCAAGGATATCGGGCAGCTCTTGTCAAGTCCCGAGATCCTTCTTTTCACCTTCTTCACATTCCTAGTGGGATCCATGATGGGCTTTCTCAACGCGTTCGAGACATGGTTCCTAGAAGACTTGGGAACACCAACGTACCTCATAGGCCTGACCAAGACAATTCAGTGCTTCGGTGCTGAACCCGTGCTGTTTTTCCTTTCGGCGTATATACTTAGGAATATAGGATACTTCTACTCCTACTCGGTGGCGTTCGTGCTGTTCGCGTGCAAGGTCATCGGTTATTCGTTCTTGCGAGATGTCTGGGGATCGCTTGCGGTGAACATTGTTGGGGGAGCCATTTTCCCGATGGTGTACGCAGCTATGGCTGTGTTCGCTAAGAAGAAGGCCAGGCCTGGAACTGCCGCCTCGATGGTCTGCATTCTCGGAGCCAACTACGATGGTCTTGGTAAGAGCCGGCGTTCAGAATTTAAGCTTTTACACTTCTGCAAACCATCGGTCTAAAAAGTCGCGCTTAATTTGATCCCGCCTATTATACGGGGCAATTTCGAACACTGTTAGAACATTAGTGAGATTCTTGCAGAATATTTCCTTGTGCCACATTGCCACGTACTTACCAACTCATCTGCCTGCCGTTGTGCGTCTCTGGCGACTCCTTGTCAAAATTATTGTTACCGTGGCCCTTGAAATCTCATTTTATCGCAGAATTAATAACGCTCGACGTTGGCCTAGCGCAAATGGAGGAAGATATTCAGTCATAATCATGACCGCTGTGATTTGGGGCTACGGTCTATATCATGGGTGGCAGCCTTTTGAATGTCACCTAGTTAGAAAATAGAAATCACTCTGCACAAAGTTACGTGACGAAAATAAAAAAAAATAAAACGGTAGCACAGGGAGGCTAGCATAATTCTCAAAGATAAATTACTATTGCCCAGTTTCTTCCAGCAAATAAAATACTTATCATTAACTGATCCCCATCGAAATACCGCTTCCTTCCGATGGGCCCATATATAATCTTAAGTGGCGTTGCTTATGAATATTGCTAGCTGCGTGTTGCTTTCAACAATTAAGCAAGTGTGCAGTCACCCCGCCATAAATTACTTCTGACTTCGATATTGACCAAAGAGAATAGACCAGATGAATGACACCAACGGCAATACCCACTACATTTCCACGTCGCACAGGTTCGGCAGCGGGCAGTCTGGTAGGAGGCCTGAGCGTCGACAAGATCGGAGCCAGCCTGACCTTCCGCTACATAGGCTTTTCATCGGTGGCTGCAGCGCTTCTCAGTGCGCTGTGCTACTTCCTTCTTCGATGTACGGCTGATCACGAATACGGTAATCACCGTTCATTCGTTGTTATCAATCTGCTCGATTTGGCTGAAGCACCCTTTCTATTCTTTGCAGATATAACGCCGGAAAAACCCGAGCCATCTACACTTTCGGGCACCTGTGATTCGCGCTATTCGCCGAAGCTCGAACACGGAACGCACGTAGAAAACTCGCAAAGCGTTTAGCAATTGAAGTGATTTTCGATGTGCAGTTACGTTAGACGTACGTAGCAGGTTAAGCTAAAATAACCATGTATACGTCCACCAGCCGAACTTTCGTGTTACCTGAGTTGTTTAATATGTGGTCGGAAAGTTTGCCTCATCGGTCGGCAAAAAAGAAAAAAAAAACGTTTCACTCACTCAGATTCACTCAAGGAATATCTTTTACGCTTGAAGCTCACTCGTACTCAGAATTACCAAAATGTTTATGAAGCGGACTCGTTTGTACTCACCACAGTATTACTCCCTCAGATTCACTCAGAATCACGGCTTGATTAAAATATGACTGGGTCTTAGTGATTCGATTCGTGAGTGAGTCGGTCGTAACCCATGTATGGTCTGCGTAAAGTAACAAGAAATTGATTGTGAGTGGTTCCGTCGCAGCATTATTCAGTGACCAGTTCTCAATATAATTTTGCTTTCTATGTGCTTTTATTCTCCTTATTACTCATGTAAAAAATTAAAAAAAACACCACATGGATATAAAAAGAAGCATCCTAGCAACTGGGACACCATGCCCGTCCGGATGATCAGAAAAAAAAAGTCATTTACTACTGGTTGCTGGTGTAAACGAGCCACATCTTATACTACAACGTCCCTCATCTGCCTTCATCAGTAAGGCTGTGACCATACGCAACATGCAACTTTTGGAAATAAGCTTGTGTGACTAGTCATTCTAATAGAGGATGATCCATCTTATGTTCTTTTATGAACCACCGTGTGCATAGATTATGCATACCAGCAAACGCTACGAATGCATCCTGTCCTTCCAGTCGATGTACACTCATAAATCATGTTCACATAATCATTACTTGCAGAGCACTACCCACCAACTCTTACTAAACTATCATTTGTTATATACTTGAACTCACTTGTTTTTTGAATACGCTTGGCGACGCGACGGACGCGGCAGAGTTGTCGTTTACAATATCGCAGGCTTTAACGTACCCGTAGGGTAGTAGACCGAACGTGCGTCTGTTAACCTGTATGCTTTTCGTTCCTCTCCTTCCTTCTCCTCCAGTTTCCGTGTGGAACTAACGACCTTATCAATAAAAGACATATTTACTGCGTGTGTGTTCATGTCAATACCTTAACCTTTACGAGAACTAGTGATGTTGTTCCTCAACACTGTGTTGTTTTTTTTTTTTGTGAACTATGTGAGACATTCATTTTCCGCAAACACTGAATTTCAAAAGTTGGAAGAAAATACATAATTAAAAGCAATCTCTATTTCCACACTACCGACACGTTAGCCAGATAGGTGGATCAAATAGTGCCTTACAAGATAATATAAATTTCACAACATATCCACGGAGTGCATAATGATAAGTGGGGCAAAGCGTCTGTCTGTCTGTCTGTCTGTCTGTCTGTCTGTCTGTCTGTCTGTCTGTCTGTCTGTCTGTCTGTCTGTCTGTCTGTCTGTCTGTCTGTCTGTCTGTCTGTCTGTCCGTCCGTCCGTCCGTCCGTCCGTCCGTCCGTTCTAATTAAGCTATAGAGCACGCACTGAACCGACTGATGGACGGATGCTTCGCCCCACTCATCATCATTTACTCTGTGGATATTCTATGAATTTTTGATCATACTAAAACTGCTAATGCTATTTAGTGACATTATTTTCAAGGAAATATACACACAACATCATCTAGTGAGCAATTCTTAAAACTAACTAGAAGTGGCTACCACAACATACAACTACGAAGGAATGACCCACACTCTAAGGAGCTTCGCCCCTTTAAGTGCTCATTATACCAGCATTTCTTCCTTCCTTTTCTGACATTCAAAAGGAAACTTCGTTAAGCCTTAGACCATAAATGTCTGTTCGTGAGGCCTAAGAATGCCGCGAATAAAGCTCGCGCGCTTAGACACGTCACATGTTGTCACACATTGTCATGTTGTGAACAGTCTGCATGAGATGTCTGAAACTCACCTTGGCTAGCAGGCCGCATGCAGCCGCGCAGTTCGATTCCGCAAGGACCGTCACTGTTAAGAAAGTGGCCGTGGGTAGGGGAGAGGGAGGAGGGAGAAAGAGAGAGAGTTTGAACAAAATGTGACCTAACGTTGGCATTCGGAAGAATGCGTGTTCCATATCCCATACATGCCCCTGTTTACATTTTTTTCCTGCCATACATATATAGACACATTTATGTAGAATGGTTGACGTCCACTTTACAAGAAGACATATCGATACTATATCGATCTAGCCACAATGAATAAAATGTGGACGCCTATTCTAAAATACCGAGTTTCGTTCCACGTTGGTTATTCAACTCATCGTGAGCGCGTAGAGTTCCCCGCGATAAAAAAAAAATGCTTAAGGCCAGTCTCGTCTCTGCAACTCACCCGACGAAAGCGCTATTAATTGCGACAGGCGAGAATATAATGTCATTGCTATTTAAAATAGCAAAGACGCAAGACTTAATTCTGTGTCAAGGCACGGCCTGATATCGATACCGACAGCGCGAGCCGATAACACGTGTTTGAGACCACTGGTCTGCATGATAAAGGTTTCGAAAGTGCAAGTTAATTGCAGCCTTTACATGCATTACCATAGTTCAAGCACTCCACATCATTGGAAAGCATAACTTTTGCTGTAAAACAACTCACTCACTTTGCCTGCATACTGGACTCTATATATAGTCAGTAAGTAAACAAAAATGCGGGTAAGCCTACATGATACGAGAGATCGGAGCTTATCTCCCCCCCGCCCCACGTGTCACGAAGGGGCGAGGAGGGGAGGAGGAGGGCACGACGCGAAGAAAGCCGGTCGCGTCTTCGTCGTGCAAGCTGCCAGCTGCGATTCTGTCCGAAATCTGCCATTATATAGCGGTGCTCATTCCGGCGATTAGCAAGAACCGCAAATGAGATAGCCGTTTCTGTGACAGCTCCGATAAGAACGGTGGCATCGTAAAGCAATTAGCAGCTCCAGATCTTCCATCTCGACTCGACCTCGGACTCTAATCGTGACCGTCACGGCGTCTTCAGCGGAGTGGCAGGTCCGAACGGGTAAGCCGCACTCCTTCGCTCATTGGATAATGCGTCTTCAATTGCCCCCATTGCGCGGGAATCGAACTACTATACGGAAGCGTATTTGCGAACGACAGTCGATAGTTTTCGCGAAATAGGAGGAATTGGCGAAAGGCTTGTTTTATTTATTAGACACAGTGTATTCAAGCCGACAGTTAGGCGAAACGTGTGAACGCACAGTAAAGATTATTTGTAATTCCTGCAAGTCAACCATTCTTGCTCTGTCATTTTTGTATTTGTTTCAGTTGGTATTACGTTTTTCGTTTACTTATTCCTTTTTGGTCTTTGAATAACCTTCTTTTTGTTGTTTGTTTACGTTGTAACCAATAGAAGTAGAGGAGCCGACTTCATATAAGCCTCGACCTATTCATAGTAAGGCAGTTAAATCAGAAACAAAAAAATGTACTGTGGCCCCTCGCTGCACGCGTTATGATCGGCTGTCTATAAATGCGTCAGTTTTCAACAGTTCGATGCGAAGGTTGTGGGCACCAAATTTCAAGCAAGTAAGAGCATGAGAATAAATTATGCTGTACTTTGTTGCAAATAACTACAATTACAACAAAAATAATTATATAGTTATTGTGCAGTTAGTTATGCTAAGTTTCTTCGTGAACCAAATTTAACGGCCCACTCAAATTACAGGCGATGGTTGCTTCCTAGCGGCAAGCATTCCTAAGAAGGGAATTTTTTTTTTTGAAATTCCCGCTGGAACGGCGCACGTCCAACGTGTCGTCACCAAAGTGATCGTGTCCAGCAAACTATCTCAACCAGGAGTGATGTGACTCAAATTTAGGCGACAAGAATGCTTAACTTACCACTAAAGCGTGGTTTTCGAGTCTCTTACTTGCTATAGTAGCGCTCAGAAGTGGCAAAAGAAAGTCGCGTCGTTAATTGAGGACATCAAATCGCAAAAGAATTATGTGATAATCACATAACGGACAATAAATTCAAGTGGACGAAAAAAAGAAACATTTGCCTTTGGTACGTACTGAAGCTACAACATTCGCATAGCGCGCGTCTGAAGGTTCGTTCGATCCGTATACAGACATGAACTTGTTTTCTTTTCGTCCTCTTTAATTTCGTACCATTTATGGAATAGGTATATACTGCAGTACAATTAAAACTCTAAATAGTGGCTCCTATGCCTTACATGGCTTAATTGTCTTTTTATTTCATCATGTAGTCCCCCTAGCTTTAGGCAGCTGGAGCACGAATTAGATCTTAGTTTCATATATAGTGATGACCTCACTTAACTTGCGTATTAAATTCAACGTAACCATGCGTAAATTTCCACATGCGTTGGGAGCATATGCTGCATTGAATTCACTACTGTTTACAAACACATATTCAACTTCGGACAGTAGATCACCTAATAAAGTAGATAATGCTGCATCTTCAATGCTGTGAGGTACATTAGCGCCAAATGTTGCAGAAAGGAGGGTAAGAAAAAGAGGAAACTTTAACTATCAAGCGCAATCTATGGTGAGTTGAAATACAGCTGTTCCCGGTTGTCCAACAGGTTAACGCGTCTTACGTAAACCAGTGGTAGCAGCCAAGAACCGTGCTGTAGCGGTTACGGTGGAGCGACTAAGCTATCTCGTTGTTAGGAAAGAGACCGTTGTTAGGAAAGAGACTGTTGTTAGGAAGTTATGTGTGATCTCAGTGTACGTTAAATAACCCCAGATTGTCAAACTTTCCGGAGCCCTCTACTGCGGCGTTTCTCATAATCATATCGTGGTTTTGGGACATAAAACTCCACTCATTAATATATCAAAGTGTGGATAGATGAGATATGGTTTGTATAAAGAGTGTACATCGCTGCTTGAGCAACTGGCCCAAGTATGATAGGCTGGTCTGCCCAACTTGTGCTCAGTGCTGAGTTGAATAGCGTGGTCAGGCATGTGCCTGAAGGAACAGTATACGGCGTAGTTCTCTCCAGCGAATTTTTATGATGCAGGCTTAACGATCCTTCGTGAATCGCTTCACCTTCTGCGTCGTGGTAGACGGCCTTGTGTTGAAATCACGGGTGTTTTGGGACCAGTTGCTAGTGCTATAACTTCCTTCCTTCGCCCACTATGAAACTGGATTGATTCATATAACTGCTTTCCAACTTTATTGACAGAAAAGCAGCGTTTCTACGTAGATGAGTTTCAGGATCGCTCACACATCCCCGAAGCAACAGCCACTTCTAAGCATGTATTTTAGACACATGAGGTGAAATTAATTTCTGGCCGTATGTTGACTGCTTTTTTCAGCACCATAGTGCCTTCACCCAGTGATTCGGCAGCCATTGCTTTTTGGTGATAAGCGCTTACCATATCCCCAGCCGAATTGACTTGTTTTTCACTGTTGCAATGTTTCAAAACATGGTTACTGAAAACCCGCCAAGGTGGTCTAGTCATTACGGTGCTCGACTGCAGGTCACGGGATCGAATCCCAGACGCGGCGGCCCGCGCAGGTGCACGTTAAGTGACACCAGACGGTCAAATTTTCCGGAGCCATCCGATGCAGCGTCTCTCATAATCATATGGTGGTTTTGGGACGTTAAACCCCCCATAATATTAACATGATTACTCACAGACTATTTCTTTCTGTTTCCTTCTTTAATTAGATGCAGCAGTTAAATATACAGCTTTTGTACTTTCCTGGTACTATAATTACCTGTCCGAAATATTTTGCGCCGATAAATCTGTCGAAATGGCGCAGGTGAGGGGATATAGACATCAATCTCGCAACAGCAAGTCGGTTGGAACAGACATGGACACTCAAAGCATCTTTCTGCCGTCGCCGTCATGTTTCGTATAAAATATCAATCAATAACATCGCCCCGCGCTTTGTAGGTTCTATGTGAAAACTATAGAGCTTGAGAAGGCTGCTGACCCAGCAGCGGTGACACGCACTAGCCATGTCTGTCGGGGGATCGAGCATGAATGAGTGTCAGTGGGGGCGGGGTGCATTGCTTGGGTAGAAACTACGGAAATTGATAGAAAAGGGCGTCGTTGTGCCATCTCTGCAGAAATCGGTAATTGGCTCCAAACTTTCACTCATAGACCGCGTTTCTTGGCACTAATAGAAGTGTAAGCTATACAGAACCGAAAGTAATGGCGCACTGAGGAATATGATTCTATCTTGCTCGTACCTTTTTTCTTGCTGAAGTGAATGCTGTTATATTTTTTATTGCACAATTCAAACAGTTAAGGGAAATGTTATATAAAATACAACTATAGTTCACGCAAGAATTTCATCTTTCTTCTTCTACTTTTTAGACAACACCACGCTTCCAGCAGGCGTGCTTTGCCATAAACGTGGCATTCGAGTGGGTCGGCGTACGAGCGCAAAATCGTCGTTTCGTTCTCCCAGAAAAATACGCTCGCAGTATGACACTGAGATGTACACCAAACAATAGAAATGTATACTTCTCCTATTCGTAATTGTTACGTATATGTTTTTTATTATTATAAAAGCATTAACGATGCCAGTGAGCAAAACTGAAATAAGCCTCATGGCTGACATACTACTTGCGGAGTAACACGAACATGCGGAAGCCCCACCTCCGTAAAATTCGCTCCGCTGTTTCGATTGTTTGGTGTACATCTCAGTGTCACACTGAGAGCGTATTTTTCTGGGAGAACTAAACGACGATTTTGCGGTCGTATGCCGACCCACTCGAATACCATGTTTATGGCAAAGCAGGCCTGCTGGAAGCGTGTCTAAAAAGTAGAAGAAGAAAGATGAAATACTTGCGTGAACTATAGTTGTATTTTATATAACAAAGTTCACGGCCAGCTATACATGGGCGTCGGCAAGGGGGGGGGGGGGGGGGAGGTTGGGTCAGAAGAGCCTATTGCCACCCTCAAGCCGCACCAGAACTTCCTCCCACTCAAGCTAAAGCAGCGTTTCCCTTTTCCCAACCTCGATGCAACACGGGTGTAAGTACATACATCACTGAAGACAAAATCCTGTCTCACCGCTTACTTCGCGCCGAAGTCACAGACAGCACAAAAACCACTTTGCATGCTCCCAATGGAGTGCGGCCGTATTCCCCAATGGCAGCGTTTTGTAGAGTTGCGTCGGACGGGATCCTCAAGGAATTAGCTCCTAGCCTTAAAGTTCATGTAAAAATGGTCGCTAGTCGCAATCACTGCCTCCCCCGCGCAACAGAGCCACGACGTTCTTCAAAACATGACTTATTATTATAGAAACACGCATCTCTTTTTCCTTCTCTACAGGAATCAGGCCTTCTCGGAAATTCACTATCCTTCACACACCCGGTTGACCGACTGGACAGTGGTTATAGGTGTGCTGGTTAGTCGCATTCAGTGCGGCTTGTGAGAACAGCCATGTTTCTGTCCATCGACCGAAGTCTGCTCCCCATAAAGGCACACTACTTTCTCTACGTTGCAGGTGAGTGAATCACGTGGTGCACGCTTGATGTACGAAGAATGAATAGGGAGTTTTAGTGCTGGGTACGCATTCTCTTGGGGCGATGCGGGCTTGGGAGCACGCGGCGTTGCGTGCCCAACCCATACCCAACCGGAATTGGCGCCACGGTGGCGCGCACGCAAACGCAAGCCGCACGAAGGTCACACGTGCTCGCAGCGCCATAGCGTCTTGTCGCGTAAGTATTATGTAATTATTTTTTATGATTGGAAATGTAAAATTAAACATACATAGTGATCAGGACACTTTCTTTATTGTGTACAGTATCCTGGTATACGCAAAAAAAAATGAAAAATACAAGGTTACTATAACGACAGTGTCGACATCTTGTGACACTTCGTGCAACCACATTCATGAACTTGTCAGCTTACGCGTAATGTTTTGGGATGAAAACAAATAAAAACATTACTCATTTGTAATATTGTCGCTGCGCAGTTTTTGCATCAGATGTACAATGCACAATGTTTCTGCAATAACAATGTTGTGGTTGTCTGTTTCAATATAGCCGCGCTAGATGGCGCCCCCTATTCAGCTGGTCGCGGTTGGCATATATTTAGTTTCTATGTACCAGGCCATTCTAGCTTTGGTAATCTGGTTGAAACCGTGTAATCGCTATAAGTGCTCGCAGTTTGGCTTATTTTAACTTGACGGCTAGAGTATCCACAGTGCAGATACTGTGAGTTTTTGCGAAGGTGGACCTTACAAGGCGGCCGATCCATGCTGTCCGAGATTTCGCGCCTCTGTGTCATGCTATTTGTATCGTGGCTAGCCACTATAATATTTGCGCTTAAAACTTCAATGTCAAAGTGGTGGCTCTGGCCCGCCTCGGCTTTGCTCACCGTGAAGGTAACATGATGCGCCAGCATGTGCGCCGGGGCAGCTTATCTCCACTAGGAGGCCAGTGGTGGCAGCGTTGTTGGGCGCACAGACGCATCGCCCCAGCGATCTTGCGACGCATCTGTTTGGGGTTTCACGCATGCGCAATACCGCCGCCCCAACGTCCTGCGTACGCAAGCCGCTTGGGTACCCAGCACTAAAACTCCCTTTAGGGAGTTTTAAAACTTTCTTAAGGGAGTTTTAGTGCTGGGTACAGTGATGGTGTTAGTGCTGGGTAGTGATGGTTAGCAGTGCAGTGATTCTGCACGACGGCTGATATATCTACTGAATCAAACGCCTTCTCGTAATCTATGAAGGCTATGTATAGTGGTTGGTTATACTCTGAACATTTCTCTATTACCTGATTGATAGTATGAATGTGGTCAATTGTTAAGTAGCCTGTTCGAAATACTGCTTGTTCTTTTGGTTGATTGAATTCTAATGTTTTCTTTACTCTGTTAGCAATTACCTTTGTAAATAGCTTGTATACTACAGAGAGCAAGCTGATCGGCCTGTAATTCTTCAAGTCTTTGTCATCTCCTTTCCTATGTATTAAGATGATGTTAGCGTTCTTCCAAGACTCTGGTACTCTTCCCGTCAGGAGACACCTCGTAAACAGGGTGGCTAGTTTTCTAACACAATCTGTCCTCCATCTTTCAGCAGATCTGATGTTACCTGATCCTCACCAGCAGCTTTGCCTCTTTGCATGCTCTCCAAAGCTTTTCTGACTTCTTCTATCATTAGTGGTGGGGTGTCATCTGGGTTACTGCTAGGTCTTATATTATTAAGGTCGTGGTTGTCTCGGCTACTGTACAGATCTCTGTAAAACTCCTCCGCTATTTTAACTATCCTATCCATATTGGTAGTTATTTTGCCTTCTTTGTCCCTTAGTGCATACATCCGACTTTTGCCTATCCCAAGTTTCCTCTTCACTGCTTTGACGCTTCCCCCGTTTTTAAGAGCGTGTTCAATTCTCTCCATGTTATACCTTCTTACAACGCATACTTTACGCCTATTAATTAACTTTGAAAGCTCTGCCAGTTCTATTTTGTCTGTTGTACTTGACACTTTCATGCTTTGACGCTTCTTAATTAGGTTCTTCGTTTCCTGGGAAAGCTTGCCAGTGTCCTGTCTAACTACCCTGCCTCCAACTTCCACTGCACACTCCGTAATGATACTCGTTAGATTATCATTCATTGTATCTACGCTAAGGTTGGTTTCCTCACTAAGAGCCGAGTACCTGTTCTGCAGCGATACTCTGAATTCCTGTATTTTCCCTCTCAGTGATAGCTCATTGATTGGCTACTTGCGTATCAGTTTCTGTCGTTCCTTCTTCAAGTCTAGGGGAATTTGAGACCGTACCATTCTATGGTCACTGCATCGTACCTTGCCAACCACTTCCACATCCTGCACGATTCCTGGGTGTGCAGTTATTATAAAGTCTATTTCGTTCTTATTTTCGCCATTAGGGCTCCTCCATGTCCACTTGCGGTTTTCTCGTTTTCGGTAGAAAGTATTCAAAATCCGCAAATTATTGCGTTCTGCGAATTCTATTAGTAGCTCTCCTCTGGCGTTTCTAGTGCCGATGCCATAATCTCCTACTGCCTGGTCTCCAGCCTGCTTTTTCCCTACTTTTGCATTAAAGTCGCCCATCACTATAGTATACAGTGTTTTTACCTTACTCATTGCCAATTCCACGTCTTCATAGAAGCTTTCAACTGAAGCGTCATCATGGCTGGATGTAGGCGCGTAAGCCTGTACTACCTTCATCTTGTATCTTTTATTCAGTTTAATTACAACACCTACCACCCTTTCAATAATGCTATAGTATTCCTCTATGTTGCCAGCTATGTTTCTGTGAATTAGGAACCCCACTCCCAGTTCTCTTCTGTCTACCAAGCCCCGATAGCAAAGGACGTGCTCATTCTGTAGCACAGTATGGGCCTCATCTGTCCTCCTAACCTCACTGAGCCCTATTATATCTCATTTAACACCCTCTAGCTCCTCGAATAGTACAGCTAGACTTCCCTCACTAGATAAGGTTCTTGCGTTAAACGTTGCCAAGTTCAGGTTCCAAAGGCGGCCTGTAGTCCAGAGACGGCCTGTAGTCCAGAGTGAAAATAAAGTTCATACTTAAAAAAACACGTCCTGTATAGACTGCAGGCTTCGCGATAAAACACGTAATATCGCAGTAATATCGAGTGCTACAGGCGCACATTTCCCTTGGGCGTCAGAGCATGTGATTGTCATAATGGCTTTATGGTTTAAAGCTAGACACCCATTACAAAAGGCACACACGTTACCGCCCGTATTCTTTCAAGACCCCGCAGTGCGTGCATAACAAGTTCGAAATCTTCTCACGCGCATAATTGCTCAAGGTTTAAAGCACGCCACTCATTGCACAATGGGACATGAGAGAGGCCTTTGTCCTGCAGTGTACGTAGTCAGACTGATGATGATGAGGATGATGACTCATTGCACAAATTGCAGCCATATGTGAAAGCTTCACCGACACAAATCACATTCAACTTTATCGACTACATTTAAGTAATCCACATTTCTAAATTTTCCGAGTAACGTCATACAATAAAGAGTATGTTCCAAATGGTTGATGTACGACCTATAGAAACAGGATATCGCCATCGTGTTCAACTTATAAAGGCCAAGCTTAAGGATCCCCCACTTTTATGTAGTGCCATCACTACATACATGTCAGCACATTTACTGACCTGTATCTTCTCTTCTTCCCTTCTGTTATCTATTTCTCGTCTTTATAGTTTCCTTTCCTATTCTTCCAGCGTAGGGTAGCCAACCGGTCATGTGATTGGTGAACCTCCCTTCCCTACGTTCTATGTTTTCCTTCCTTCCTTCCTTCTTTCCTTCCTTCCTTCCTTCCTTCCTTCCTTCCTTTCTTTCTTCCTTCTTTCCTTCCTTCACGTTAAGTAAGGTATGACGGAATCGTTTACGAGCTTCGCCGTTTCTGAGGGCAATGATGCACTGCGCAGACAGACAAAGAGCCAGAACACAAAACGGACACGGACCTTGCGCTCTGTTTTGATTTTTCGTTTCTGTGCACCTTGAGTATACCATACCAACTAGCCCCGGCAGATGCACTTTGAACGTTATTTAGTGTTTCGAATGTTACACGTTGTTTCATCCATTCATCTTCTGTGTGCATTGCCCAGCTCAAGCCTGCGTTCTTCCATACCTGGCAGCGGTCGGACGAAGCAATGGCATACCCGAGTCGAACATCGCCTACGTATTCACCTTCATTCCCTTCGGCGCCATCTTCGTCAAGGTCGTGTGCGGCTACATCGCGGACAAGACTCAGAACGTTACTGCCATACTTCTCGTTCTCGTATTGTCTCTGTTTGTGTCCGACGGCATGGTGTTCTTCAGCAAAAGCGTGCAGGAACCAGCGGCTCCACCGCTAGTACGTCTCAGCTGCCCGCTTACTAAAGTGACCCTCGACAACCCGTTCGTCAACTGCACAGAACTGTTGCCCCCTTGCAACGTCGACTCGTGCACCCATAACGCATCCACGGAGGCTGACGTTGTCCTTTACGGCAATGTCTCGGTGGTGAGCCCGGCCTCTGTGTGTTCCTTGCTCCAGCCGAATGTCACGACTGTACATCGTGCCTTGCCTTTCGAAGTGTGCCGCTTGAACTGCTCGTGTTTCGAGGGCGGCTACAACGCCGTCAACTACGCCATCTACGCCATATTCGTCGCTATCTCGTTCATGACCGGTGCTACTGTGTTCGTGCTCTCGGACGCTGCCGTCTGCGAAAAGCTCGGCGACAGGGCGAACTGCTTCGGCAAGCAGAGGATGTGGGGAACCATCAGCTGGGGCATCCTAAGCCCCATAGCGGGCGTCGCTATAGACGCTGCAAACACTGCCACGAACGGCCGCTCGAAGTACACCCCCGGTTTCTACATCTTCGCCACGCTTATTATAATGGACATGATCGTTCTGCACTGGACGCCGCGCCTGAGAATGGGCACCCGGTCGTCGAGTTTCTTCAAGGACCTCAAGACTGTTTTCGGTGGCTGCGAGTTCATAGTCTTCACCGTATGGACCTGTCTCACGGGAGTGTTTTTTGGCGTGCAAGCCACGTACAACACCTGGTTCCTGGAGGACATCGGTGCACCCAAGCTGGTGATCGGCCTTGGCTTCGCCATCATGACGCTACTGGCCGAACTACCTCTCCTCTTTGTGGCCGACAAGATTCTCGCTCGTATCGGCTACTTCTCGTCGTACTGCTTGTCGTTCGCCTCGTCCGCCATAAAGCTTATTGCGTATTCATTCCTGACCAACCCATGGCACGCACTCTTCATCGACGTCATCGGTGGTGCTGCATTCCCATTGGCGTTCGCATCCATGACTGTCTTCGCCAGGGAGAACGCTCTCCAGGGCGTATCAGCTTCGGTGCTGTGCGCGCTCAACGCCTGCTTCGAAGGAGTCGGTTGGTAACTTTACGTTTTCGTAATTATCTTTAGTGCAACTGTACGATGCTGGCCCTGTGAGAGCGTCAGAGAATATATAACATTTAAAGGGAAACGTGGATTACGGGAGTCCCTGGGACCACCAAGCGAGCCTCTTTTACAACAGAGACATATATCCTTGGCTCCCTGGGTATTCTATAAGAGCCCGCCAAGCGGCTTGTTCATTTCTTCTCCCGCTGGTTGGACAAAACTCGTGATCTGGCGAATAAGTGCCAAATGTAACCACTGCTAGGGAGCACGCATGCTCCTCGATGAAAATATTTCAGAAAATAGTTTTGCGAAATGCGCTACCGGGAATTCAAACCTATGACCTCTCGCTCCAAAGCACGCCGCGTTACACGAATCGGCCATGGAACGGGCGGCTGGCGGTACGCAGATCGTGGAGGCGCTTTAGAATGTTCTATTTATCACAAGCGAGATAACGCGAAGGGTGCGCAGTAAGAGTCGTCGCGCCGCTCGGTATGCGATGTTCGTGAAATCGTGATACGCGCGTGCTTCCTACTTTCATTGATTGTACTTAGCCATACAGGGTGTGGTGTCCCGTGCCAGCTCGCTTATCTCATGAGTGAGGTGGCTTGTACGTCTTGTGCTTTCACCGCAAAGCTTCCGCAGAGAATAGATAACAGTGGCCGCGCTTGAGAAAGGATTGAGCTGCTATCTAGAAGATCCAAAGTAGGAGCACCAGGTTGTTTATAATTGTGACTTGTGGCTCGCTGCTGATACACTAAGTGGCAACTGTGACAGTTGTTAGATCGCGTTCGTCCCATGTACATCTGTGCGTTAGTTTTGTGCGTTTTTCTTTGTGTTTAAGCAGCACGCTCTAATGTCGAGCTGCTTGCAGTTCGCGAGACATTCTGATTAGTCTCTATGGCATTGATTGCTTCGATCTTACGGCAAAACTGTGACTTCTTTTTGTCACTACGTTGCGTTGAAGTGTTCACTTCTTGTGTGTTGTGGTCATGGTAACAGTGCGTCCGGCTTAACGGCAGCGACATTCATTTACTGAACGCAAGTTTTCACTTGTACATTCACGATTACCGCGATCACTATCCTGCGATAGATAACGCAGAAGCACATACATAAATGTGCGCAGAGCTCCTCTTCAGGGGGACGGGGTGACTGCTTATCGTAGCCCCCCCCCCCCCCTTTCCATTAAAGTTAATGTATGGGGCAAGCTTCGCCCCCCCCCCCCCCTAGGTTACTAAGTGGTAGGCGCCCCCTGGTCCTGTCGTGGGCACGCCTCTGAGCAGATTAGCAAGTCCTGCGCGTACGGCGTACGTAGTACACGCAAGCCCAGGGGGTCGAGACTTGCACGCGCACCAAAGTGATGTATAGTAACCCCTATATTCCTGAAGTGAAGACACCACCTCGTTTGGTTATTGCATTCTTATTTCACTGTCCCCTTAGGGAATTTCACAAGCAGAACCTTGTATATGCAAATACCCACCAGGTACCACACTTGTCTGCGCGTGCGTTGTTTGTGCCTGTAAATCTGGCTTTGCTTTTATACGATGCTTCTTGAGGAGAAGCTTTCTTTATGCAATGTTCTTTTTTTTTTTTTTACATACTGAGTGTTTCAAGAAATGTGTCCAATACTTGAAAATTACAGAACGGAGACATCTGCGTGCTACTATGTTACTTTTTTTTTCAGAAGACACCTTCAGGTGTGTACAAACAATAATTACGGCAGTAATTTAAAAAATTAAAACAATTACATTATTAGCCAGCCGAACCCATTGGGTGAATTCAATGAATCCATAGCCACATTGAAATTAAAAAAAAACGGCCACTGTGATACTCGCCGAGCGATGAAATCTGGCCAATTTAGACGGCGAAACCGACGCACCAAACAGCGCATCTACCATACAGTTCGAAAACGCACACGCAAGCGCCACGCCAGGTCATGACGCCTGTCTGCCCACTGCGCAGTTCACTAACATAGCACAGGGTTGCACTGTACGTAATATTCGGATCTGACACGAAATGCCGATTGACTTGTACGTGTTTTGTTTTGTTTTTTTTTACTCGTAGGTGTTGTCACTGGGAACCTCATCGGTGGAATATGTTTCGAAAAATTCGGCGGCAAGCTGACCTACCAGTATCTCAGCGTCGCGGCGAGCCTTTGCGTGGTCGGCTGTGCGCTCTCAGGGTTTGTCGTGCGGAAGCTGCGACCGAGAGACTCGCTGTCGAAGCCACCCTTCTACGAATCAACCGGTGCCTAATTTCTCCATTCCTCAATGCGATAAACGTGTTGATAAACGCATCCCTGACCTGGCGTCGCCCGAGTTCACATCTCGATTTAAACCATGGTGGTTTATACAGGTACTTCGAGTGCGATAACGACATGGTTGTGACTAGTTAAGCGAGAGATGAACAAAACTTGTCTCTTTGTCCTCTCGTCGAGTGCAGGGCAGCAAACCGGACGTGCGTTTAGTTAACCTGACTGCTTTTCCTTTTCGCGTCGGGGAGCACGGATTTCGTTTGGCAGAAACCGATTCGCGCTCCCCTATGCAGGATTTCGACGCAAGTACCCTAATAATTGACCATTTTGAACGGCTTTCCTTGTTTTTCTCTTTTTTGTCATGAGGCGTGACATGCGCGCCGTGTGCGATACGACACCAAAAATGCGTCGAATATACACTTCATGTGGTAGCGTTTCTACAAGTAAACATTGGCTATGAATCGAACGGCCAGAACGGCATATTAATGCATGGTTCCTCTAACTAAGTAGCTAGATGAGCAGGTAAGTCACATAATTAGTGCCTGCTTTCACAGAATGCGTTTCCGGGCTTGTTGGTATGATTTCATAGTGCTTTTATAACGCAAAATCGCGCCAAAATGAAGAAAAAACAGAAAAGTGTGCTGTTTCCTGCAGCCCGTTTATTGGAATATGTTGCACAGTAACATTAATCGTACAACAAAACAAGCCACCTTCCACGCGTGCCATAGCAACGACCATCTAATTCTTTAAACTGCGGCGCATCAAAGACTCGCTCTTGAAAGCAACGCAAACATGCCGAGACGAATTACGCAACCATGGTGCTCTGTCTTCTGTCTGGCGAAGTGCTATGCGGGAGGCTGTGATTATCAATTGTTTATATAGCTGGCCTGCCTGGTTCTTTATGAACCACCTCGTGGCCTAAATTTAGATTACGCCACCGTCCGGCCGAGCTCGCCTGCGTATCTTTCACGAGTCGCCTGTTTCTTGCCCTCCTCCATGGGCCGCGGGGAGCAAGCCGTTTATACATCAGGGAGCACAGATATTGCTCTTTCGGCCTGGTACACATCTGAATCGTAAAGTAAGAGCGCCTATGCTCGTTCAGCTACCGAACGGTGTTACATTTTTATTCACGCACATTGTACGACCTAAATGAATTCGCCTATTGCAGACCACCCGGAAGACTATGAGAGACACAGGCCCGTATTCACAGACCAACCTCGGCCTTGCCTCCCGTTTTCCTCAACTTCCTGTGCTCTCTACATGCGTTATAAATGCCCGAAAATGGTAACGGGGTGAAAGATAGGGGCAAGACTGGTTCATGTATACTGGTCCGATTTGTTTATCATGCGCAACAAAGGTTTAAAACCGATAAGAAAAACTCGTGGAAAGTATGAGGTTGGTTTGTGAATACGGGCCATAAACCTTGATCGTGGCAATTTAAAGAGTTTTGTTGAAGAACCCCTCCTGCTTCTAATGGCTGTGACTTGTGCTACAGACCCGAACACATCGCACTGAAAAGTAAAATTTGGCCCATATGGTTTAATTCTGTGTAATCAAGGCGGCTTGGTTGAGGAGTCGGAGCTCGATCTGTCCTTCAAAGCAGCAGCAAAATGCCTGAATAGACCGCCACAGCAAATGCAATGCGTACTCTATACGTAACTTTCTTCCGTAGCGCAGCCAAAGAGGGGTTTATAAGTTCAAACCATAGCCCCCCCCCCCCCCCCCTTCATCAGTGTCAGCCGGATTTTGGTTTGTAAATCCGCACTGAATCGTGGCTGGGGTAGGGTAAAGCGCTCGTGTAGCTTGATTGGTGGCAAGTACCCTTTTTGATCACCACCCCTGCCGACTTTCAGGGTCATCCTACTGATATTTTGACATTTTGCATGTGGCTGTAACCAGGAATCCTTTTCAGGGATGGTTTGTGTGTACAATGGCTAACTGTACAACGGCTAACTTTAGCAACTGACAGCCGTTGTGAAGGCGTGTAAATGTTTCAGTATCGCTCGAAAGAATAAAGCAAGAAAAAATTTCAGAGGGTGTCAAAACTCTGCCAGCCCCCCCCCCCCTCCCCCTTTACGACCCTGGTATGTATATACCTATATATACGAGTACAAATAGGTTCGCGTATGTATGTTCGTACAAATACAAGCACGAACATACATAAACAGGGTTTGGGCCCAGCTAGGCCAGAGTACCTGTCGCTCTATTGGAAAAACTGATGGGTGTCCGTCGGCATTGGGAATCGAACCCGGCACCATCTTATCGGAGACGTCTGCACGGCGCCAGGATGGGTTACCTCCGCTTGCTTGCTTTCGGAACTTCTCGAGGATTTTGTGCTTGGTTGCACAGAATGCCTTCGACACAAGAGCATGATAGGCGCACTTCGAAACGTCGTTCTCCATGGCCTCGATTCAATCTGGAGGCCACATTGCGTGCACAGCGAAGCAACACAAAATGAGAAAGGAGGAGGCAGGACTCACGATTTAATTATGACGCGCTCCTTCGCCTCCTGCGGGCAGCACTCGGCACTTGTGGACGCTGGCATAGTTTAAAGGAGATAGTGGGCGCATTGTCAGTAAAGATCGCCTTCAGGATGCGTGGTTGCAGCGCCTTATAATTGTCCAGTAATCACAGGCGTAAATCACATGCGGGGCAGTGGTACAGTGGGGTCCCGACCTTCCTTGTGTTCAGTCCGGGGCGGACACTCCTTGCAAATCTTGCGCCCTCCCCACCCCCCCTCAAGATTTATTTTCTGAACATGTTATTTCAGTTCCTTTACAGCGTATTCCACTTTTATTTTGAACACCTATTTATTTTGTAGTGCGTACCAACTGCGTAACGCTGCCTTGACATTGTAACTGCTGTTCGATCGGTTTTCGAGGACACTCATTGAGTACGAACCCATGTTTGTTATTTGAATTTTATTTCAAAGCGGGACCTTTATTTAAGTATAATTAAGAGTACAACTTATATTTATAAAAACGAAATGGCTGCTATGGCAAGATGTGCATCCCCCCATGAAGTTTTTCTAGATTTACACTAGCCCAACAACTTTTGGACAATCACTCAGGCGAAACCCTCTCTAGACGACACTCTACAGCTTCCAGAGCAGAACAAAAATTTGCAACGTGGCCTGGTGAGGGACGCTTCAAGCAGTCTCTACTACTACCTCTAAAAGAGAACGCTATCCTTACAAGTGATGCTTTTGTGCTTCGCATCACGTCACTATGACCAGCTCGGTCAATTAGTTGCCAGCAAACTTTACTTTAAACTGCGAAAACGATACGTCATTTGCAGAGCCACTTTCATGTAAAATGATATCCCTGGCCATTGCACATTGAACATGAAAACACTGGGAACAGGTGACCCAAGGAGAGAGAAAGCTGAAGGATAAATTGACGAATGAGTGCTGCTGCAGAGAGTTGCCAGTTCGTTTCCCGCCAAGCTGAACTTTCTAGAAGAGAGAAAAGGCGTAGCTTCCTCGCTGCTTTGAAATACACCTAATTAGCACCGCTCTTATAATGGTGACGACACCAGCATCAAATAAAGAAAAGGGTAAACATCAACCCATGGGTCCAGTTGTTGGGTTGACTGTTGCCCTATTTTTATAGGACCAGTCACATGTAGGAATTACCCAATTTCAGTGGCCCATACCAGTTTATGATGATTATCGCACCCTGGATTGACTCGCAAGAGATGATTTTCCAAACAACTTCACTGTTAAAAAGCATGAAATAAAGGAAGGAATAAAGAAAAAATTAGCAAAACTTAGCAAAACAGCAATGGCCAAGATTGCAGGTGCCCATCAGCTCTGCTCCTTCTTTAACATTACACCTTATGCAAGCTACTTTTTTTTTTTAGCATGCAGGAATAATTAAGTTCTCAGTTCGGTGCTGTTGGCTAATTATGCAAAACAATGTTGCTTGCCTGTTTTCTGCCAACTTATTCCCCCCTGCACGAACTTATTTGATGGAAAGCGTGCAAGTACCAACAAACAACTGGAATAATTTATTGCGCCATAGTTTCACACATTCATGTTGTCCCAGCAGCTGGCAGTAAGTAAGTTGGACAATGTTACATTTCATATTCTCTTTTTAGTAATGAAACACACCACGTAGCATTTACAGTCCGCACACCTGCACAAACCCCAAAGCAAGCCAGAGTATCTGAAATTGCCTTTCCACAAAAAAACAAAAAAGACAGTGTAACATTGGCACATGCAGGAAATCACTCCACAGTAATGCCCACATATGTGAAACTACAAGGGATCCTGCACATGAATGTGCACACACAACACCACATTGCACCACGTTGAAACATTGCACGAATGATGAGCCCCCCCCCCCCCCCCTCCCCCAAATTCATGTTTTCAATTTCTTCATGCAATCACCTGAACACTGTCACTGCATTATCTATTAACTTTAAACACATTAAGCACAAAAAGTTTGAATAATTGCAAAGGTGTAAAATGTTACCAGTCAACAGGTAGTCAATCAGCCTTCCTGTAGATTTCACTGTGCGAGTTGCATAACCAAAGAATATGAATGTTTGCAATATCACTAAGTAAAAATTAGCTCTTACAACCACAGCTATCTGCCTGTAGATAAAGATTCTTTTGATACATAAGATTCCTTTCAAACATAAGAGTTTGAAGATTGTTAATACATATAAAGGTGTTACCATATTGTTTCTTATACTCAACATCTGTATCTACATGCAGTTGTAACAGTGCTAATGGTGCACGACACAGCTCATCATTAAAAAAAAGGTAGAAAACCAACGGAAAGAATATGGGCGAATAGAAAGATACCTCTGTAATACCTCACGTCTTTTAGGTTGTAGTGACTTGAAAATTTCTTTCCTTGCAATTAGAATTCCAAACAGCATACCTTTTCACCACCCATGCAAACACTTAAATTTTTGGGTTATTACGATTAAAACCATGGCATTGTCAAGACAGGAGCACAATGAGTGTCAAATGTGTGCTTGTCACTATTAAAGGCTTTGTTTTCCCAACCAAACGGCACTGAAAAATCAAACTCACAGGTGTGTTAGGATAGCAAGCTGTGTGACTGTTCAATCAAGCCCCAACATTTGAGTCTATGTGCAAACCACACTTTGAAATAGAAAGCTTTACTGCTTACGACAAGGCCCCCAATAAGGCACAACAAAAACCTGCATGACATGGCTGCAACATTACAATAATGCTAAAGCTCCGGCTTGTAACTGTGCTCAGCTGTTTCCACACTGATTACGAGGGCAGCTTTTTTAGAGTACAAAAGAGAGATCTATGGTACATCATATGTAGGAGTTATGTGTACTACAAAGCTGACACTATCCATCTGTACATATAAATTCAAAGAAAGGACTAAATGATTTACTAAGCCTTGAGCTCGACCAAATTACAATGGCAAATTTTCGCTTGCATCAGACCAGCTTCCTCTGTTTGAGAGACTGATTCATTGGCAAGTTTACCAATGTGGGTTCAGCACTACCTTGTGGATCTAGAAACACAGTGCTTAGGAAGAACATCATCATCACAGTTCTTCAACTTGAGAATTGTTCCTGAAACCACAGAACACAAAGCTTCGCACATGTGGACCAGAAACCAGGAAGGCACGACACGTAAACACAGACGCACATTCCCGTGGTCCCCTGGGAATTGTCAGGAGACGCCACACTCCGAGAACGGTTGCTTCTTCAAGCAAACTTGCTGCAAGCGAGTCTTCACAGAGGATCCATAAGGAACTATGGTGTACTGTAGCAGTGCCATAGTTTCCAGTTGCCAAAGTTGCCCCTAGATCTAATTTCCACCAGGTCGAATCAAGGGTTGTGTAACATACAGCTTCACTATGCGTTGGAAGCACTTGCACATGACAGCGACGATGAGACAATACATATACCAGCTGCTAACTGCGGTTGTCAAAAACCTATGGCAGAGAAACCTACAGCAACGACCTATACTGAGCAAACATAACTCAACTTTGGCTGCAACAAGCCCTTGGTGAGTTCAACAGGTTTAAGTTAAACTGTCTTACCGGAGAAACCACAAACATACGGAGTACTGACGTATGAAGCTTGAAGCAAGTACAACAATGCAATGCTTGAAGAGCGTGAATTTGGATTTAATAAAGGATCGAAGCTGTGCTGGAAGTACACGCAATAGAGGTCGGTAGAAATGGCAGTGGTTGACAGTCTGTAAGGGCTCCTGAGATGAATGGAAAGGTTTGAACAGCATGATGAGACAGCTGGTTCACCGTGGCTGGCACACAGTCAGCAACCGACAACTGTGACACTGGTCCAGTGCACACAACACCTACACAGACGGAAAGAGAAGAAGGAAGACTGCTGCACAGGGTCAACCACACAGGGCGCTGCAACGGGTGTGCATCCGCCGAGCAACGTGGGCACGCGGCGAGGTTACTTTGCTTTCTTGACGACTGTTCCACGTTGCCAAGCCAGGATGAGCCTTACGCCAAAGTAGAGTGAGAACATGTGGGCCTGGAAGGCCACGGTGAGGAAAGCGTACCAGAGGACTGCCACGGGGTAACCCTGCCACAACTCGACATTCTCAACAGCGTGACCGTGCTGCACAAAGGCGTACAGGTCGCGGAAGAAGTAGACCGCGGCGCCAATCACGGGGCACAGGCCGAAGAGGAACGTGCCGCCAACGTACACCTTCATGCTGCTCGCGCGATTACGGCGCACGGCCGTCAGGCCCGGCAGCATGAATACCAGGCTGGCGAGCCAGACCCACTCCCAGAGCAACGGCTTCGGGATGTACAGCTCTTCCAGCTCGAGAATGAAGATGTCCAGCCGATCAAGCACGTCCTCGGCTAGCTTTGCACACATGGCCAGAAAGAGGAAGAAGTGCAGCAGCATTGACGTCTTTAGCCGTGTCTTGTAAATGGCACTGCAAGAGACGGGAGGGCGGGCAATAAAATATACTGTTGCAGGAAATTGTCAGCAGCACTTTCAAGAGCATTTATTAATGAGAAAACTACTCTCACTGCTAACAATAAGTTTTCGTAAAGAGTTTAATACGAAGCCAAACCAACATCAACACAACAGCAACAACACTCTGTACCTAGTGGGCTCGCCTACATGAACAATAAGCAACACGTAATATCAGTAGACTTACAGAGGCAAACTTCACATGCTTCTTTAGTCTGTGTTCAATATTCAGTCCTTCAAATGAAGATACTAAAGAGGCAGCTATACTAAAGAACATCTTTTTGCCACATAGTTTGTGAAGGACACAGCGAAAATGGGAGTTCCAGCCAAGAATGCAACCACACTTGCAGTGAACTCAAAAGCACACGTGTTGTTTGCTGCCCAGCCTAACACTGGACTTAATACTATAACAGAATGCATTCATAAATGCTTTTGTAGTTGCATTCTAGAGGTAGACATAACCATGTAGAGAAACATTTCGACGTGACGAAGCGTGCCATTCAGTGCGACTCAAATGGCACACGCGGCGGATCGCACGCGAAATCGAAGTGCTATGCGGTTATTGAAAATATGTGAGAGACAAGGCTACAGTGCTTGACGATGCCCCAATGAGCGATAAATTTCGGTACGAATAACGGTGCGACGAGCAACATCATCTAACAAGCGCAAATTGGAACAAGTGTCACACGCTGCAATCTCTACAAACGCGAGACAAGATTTGGGTCCGTAATTATTCTCTATACGGGGACAGCATGTTCATTGAACATTCGATTCGGCGCGCGCCGGCACAAGGAAAACCTTGACAGCTGTGAACCCGCAGCGCTAAACTCGATCAGTTGCGTGAAAGTCTGAGAAGCTTGAGTCTATAACAGTAACATAATTAGTCACAAATAGATAGGAAGCAGCACTGACGCGCCACCAGTTTTTTCAGTCAGCTTTCTGTTACTAGGAGAACATCTCCAACGTGATGCCACGTTGAACAGAACACGATATCTACAGTTGCCAGCGGTCTCGAACCCCCGACGTCGCTACATTCCAGCAAAATTATGCAATGCACCTGGTCACCGATGTTTCTTTTCTATCGGCTCCAATTCGCTTCGATGCCTTGTTGAAGTAGAAGTTATTCCGGCCGTTCCTAATATTAGCAACGCTTGCTAAGGGTATTTGCACGAAGACAATTGCTCCAGATGCACGACTAACCTGATCTGGTAGTGCGATGCCACTTTTTGTCGATGGTTGAAATCGCTGCCATCGGTGCCGCTAACGTGTACCCCTCCACGAGATGCCATGCTGCTTTTTGTTATTCTTCGTACAAAATTTGAGGAATCCTTGATCGAGGTCGGGAAGACGACATGTCTCTTTGCCGGAAGCTTGCAGCGCTTCCGGTAAAACTGTACAATATGCAACCAAGACAGTAATAATAGTGCACCAAAATGAGTTTAAATATTCTACATTTAAAAATATACATTATGTTAATTAGTATCAAATTGTTTTCTTTTACGTAATAATTGGTAGATACGAAACTGTTCATGGTTGCTTTACGTAGCGTCGGCCGAATCCACTTATGCAGAAGAGAGCTTTGGGAGGGTGTCCTATTTTTCATCCTTTTGCGTTCTCGGGTTTGCGTGCATGTTTCGTCCCGAATCGAACTGTATCTGCGAGTTTCGTGCCCTTCCCCTGTAGCCTCTCTTAGATTTGTGTCCGTTGCTCGCCGTGACCCCTTCGGAAAGTGAAAATGACAGCTGATGAGGAAGAGGACATCCCAGGTAAGCTCGCCTCCCATTACCACATACGAGAGGCGCTCGCGACTCGCGCTTTCGTTTAAGTTCGTGTTTCCAAGCGCGCGATTGTTGTGCACCCTGCGTAGTTCGCGAGCCTGCAACTGTTCAACCTTTTATTCCTCGTTCGATCGCTCTCGGCGATGCAAGAACGATATCGGGGCGCGGAAAAACGCGCTTCTCTGGTGTGGTACCGCTACGCGGGGATGACCACTCCTACGCACGTCCCCGCAAACGGGTTCGCTGTTGAACATCGGTCGCTATGCAGACAGAGCCGCGACGAACGCGCTCTCGTTTCCCGGAAGAGCACGATTTTTTTTTTTCATTTCTTTTTTTTCACGGGCGTATGCTTCACGACGTTTCGACGCGCGCTTCGTCGTAGGTCAGGGCGAGCGTAAAATGGTCAGGGCGAGCTACCCTCGTACGTGTAGCGCTAGTCTAGATTAATTACAGTGGGCGCTCCTTGCAGGGGAGAGGTTGGGGGAGGGAACGCGTTGCTACGGCGCTGCTTGAGCAATTTCCCTCGCGTCGGCTTGCCCGATATTCTTCCTTTTCGCGAGTGGAAAGACGACCAGCGTCGTTGCTAACTGGCAGCGGTGCGACTCCCTGCTGTCTTACAGAATGCTTATTTTGGAATAGGGCCAAGGTTGCTTGATTGTGACATCGTGGGGGTGTGGCCAATGCGCTTTTTTCAATACTTTCGCTATCGCTTTTTTTTTTTCTCTTTACTTTTATATACGTGGTACACAGCGCATCGTCGCAACGAATCCGCGTCGGTAATGCTCGCACACGCGTATAGCTGACTACGGAATGCGATTGCGTGCGTCTCCGTAGTAGTGGTGTTCGCGTATCCTGTTCCGTTCCGTCTGTGCGGACTTACCTCATGGTCATTTTCGATGCACGTGCAGGCGATCGGCACGCCTCTTGTGACGCGACGTTATACGATATGTCTCTTCTGAATAATTTAGGGGGCTGGTTATGAAACAACTTTTATTAGTCAAGTCAATCACTCAAGCTTTCGCATTTCAATAAAAGAAAGCGGTGGCAAGAGTTATTCGGAAAGATGAAGTCAAAAAGCGTATGAACTTGGGGGTATCGGTACGTGATCATAGTAGAAGACAGCTCTATACAACAAAGACAAGAAATATCAAACAGCGCCAGTCCTATCTTCCTCTCCTCTGTCTTGCTCTTTTCGAAAGTGTGTAAATATTTGCACAGCGAAAATAAATGCACCTGTTGGTAGCCAGCGCTTATTCTGTTTGGCCTTTCTTATCTTCGTTGTATTGCTTTGTTTCGCACTATGTATGCAAGAGTGTGGAATACGTATGTGGCTGACAAAAAGATATCTTCTCGAAAGGAGTTTGTGGAAGCCTGCGGAACTCCCGTGTAAGAGCACCTGCAAAACTAGTGATAACAAGCCGAATTGATGATGCTGTCACTGGTCATGTCACGCGCAAATGTCATTGGCCAAAGCTGTCAGGGATATCCAAGTTGAAGGCCCCTGGGAAAGAACAACATAACTTCATTACAATTGCTTTGCCTGTTCTAAGCTGCTAAGCACTGGAACGCCGGGAAGCCACTACTTGTTATGTTATCGACACCCTTAACAGTAGCTTGAGTTCAAAGCGAACGACTTGAATTGCAGTATGGGCCCTACGATCTCTGCTAGTCAAGACAGCCAAGGGCATGCATCAAATAGTTGAAGGGAAGGATAGATAAACTTAAAAGAGAGCGACATTGAAGTACTATGTTAAATATTACATGCAGCATCACTAAAGTGCATATGTTTCGTGGGATATATGAACGGAGCGGATGTTTTGTGCCGAGTGGTTCATGTTCTAGAAAATGCCCTGCCGTTGTGGTCTAATGGCTAAGGTACTCAACCGCAGATTGCGGGATCGAATCCCGGCTGCATTTTCAATGGAGGCGAATATGCTGTAGGCTCGTGTGCTCAGATTTGGGTGCACGTCAAAGAACCCCAGCTGATCGAAATTTCCAGAGCCCTCCACTACGGCGTCTCTCGATCATAATCATACGGTGGTTTTGGAACGTTAAACCCCACATATCAATGTCTTAGAAAATGCTGTGTGAATGTTGCTCAGACATGTACATGAAGTTCCTTTGCCCGTTCTTTCACTATAAGGACATCTAAGTCATACCACGGTAGCTAACAGAAAACATCTTTACTTCCAGATGCTTTCTCAAGTTGTAGATCTACTTTCCAAGTAAACTGAACAAGTCAATTAAAGATTTGTAGTGCAAATGTGAACAAAAAAAACAATATGGCACAAGACCGGCATCCTTCGTGCCATGTTAACAGAGTAGAATATTGGGATAGTTGGTGAAGATTCATGGCAGCAAGTAACAGGACGAACAAAGGTGGATGAGAAAAGGTGGCACAAGTGTCTTCTTTTCTGAATTCTCAGTTTTTGCCACGAATCTTTCACTAAGCCATTCACCAACTTGCCCAAAGTAATACTATGACATAGTTAAATTTGTATCTTTCCCTTGTCCAAGGCTCTGGGGCAGTATGCACCTTTGGGAAGACCCGGTTCGCTGGCAACATGCCTGGAATGTTTTGGGTGAAAAACGATCCCGTCATTCACGTGGCCTGCGGGGACGAACACTCCGTCTTCATAACGGGTACGTCCAGCTGCGTGCTATGCGATCTGTCTGACAGTGACGTCCATTTCCGATGGCTGCCGCCATTGCAGCTGCCGCTCTGAAAGCGGGAGGTCTAAAAAAAATGTCTGTGGCCTTATTGCAATGTTTTATTACAGTATAACATTTTTTTTGTTACTTTATGAGCTTGTGTTAATCTAGTATCCTTTTGCACACTTTGTCGCAACCTGAAATCAATGTTTTACCATTTGTTACAGCTCACTCAAAGTATCAAAGCATCACTCACGTAACTCATTAGATGTAGAGTGCTCATATTACTTCGAGGAATATTGCAGTTAGGTTGCTAATAACATGGCCTAGCTACAAGTGGGCCATTGTGTAAATTCATTCGGCCATGTTTCTTTTGTAGTCTGTTTTTTTATTTTATTATGAAACCATGTTTTTCACAACTGGAGGGGAAACACATTTAATTGCTAGTGGAAGTTCTCGTTGTTATACAGGGAAATATTCTCTGGTGTCACGACATTTCCATATCTAGTCAAATATGTCCACATAATGTGGCTCCAGCATAGACAGTGTTGTATATATTTAGGTCCAACCATTTCATACATCACCAATGAAGCCTTTCAAAATTGAGTGAGCACTACAGGTTGTCAGTGATGAAGCTTCTATGTGAATTCCTCTGGTACATATTCGTGAGAGAGTGGTCGTGATCCGATTCATCTCGGGTCTTCCTACTCTATACTGTTCTATTATCTTCTGCTGTACAATAATGCACTATTGTTATCGCTGGTAGGCCACATTCAACTTAGCAAAAGATGACACTAAACAGAGTATGATTGCAGAAATATATACACTTGCAATCGAAGATTATTTACAAGGTCCGCCTTCGAAATCCGGCGCACATGCCACTCATTCAAGGGAGAATATCATGCTAAGTGGCTTCTATTGTAACCATGAGTACTTATTCACTGCTAGTATGAATGCTACCCAATCGAAAGTTTGTGGTCCCTGTTTAAAAGATTGTATTTGAAATGATGTTGGAACGTTTGGCAAAACTTACCAAGAAGTTTAGTGTTCTACCGAAAACCAGTGACTCAAACAAGTGTCTGTATAGGAAAATCACAAAAGTTGACTGATGGCTTGAAAATGAGCAAACGCAGTAGTGCGGTGCTTCTATGCAAATTCATTCTTTTTGGGACAGCGATGGCTGTGGGCAGTGCTTACATTTATTCTTGGGTTGGAAATAATTACAGTGTGCTCTGCTGGGCTTCTTGTGTGTTGTCAGAAACATAAGTTCTGTATACGTTTTCTAGACGTGCTCAAGCGCCGCCATCTTAGACTGATAACGTTGCAGTTTTGTATCCATATCATAAGAACAAACAGTGCTACAGTGAAATTGCATGCACGAGAATGCATCTACATTCAATGTTTTATGACCATGATCATTTTGTATTATGATATACAAAACCAGCAAAACAATAGCTTATCAGTCCTAGATGATGGCACCTATGAAGTGAAAATAAAATCATGTTGGTTAGAAAAACATTGTCTATGCATTCAGTATCTGCACAAAATAAAAGGATATCTAATATAAAGTGCAGTCTAACCTTCTTACAGTGAAGTTGCATGAAATAGCATCTTCATTTCAATCATTTGTCGATGCAAGCTTACTGTGTTGCGTGGCCAAGAATATGTGGCCTACTCAATGTTTTCAACTTTCAGTTGGACCACTAACTCTATCATCTGCACATTTCCATAATGTATATTGTTTTGTTTGTTTTTCTAGCGGGAGGCCGTGTGTTCAGTTTTGGCAGCAATGAGTATGGCCAGCTTGGGCACGGTCACAAGAACACAGTGGTGCGACCGAAATGCGTGAAAGGTACTTGCGAGATAATGCCCATTTTATCTGCATGCCTCAAAGATAAGACGCAGGTGGCTGCGTTTTTTTCCCAGAGGAAATGCGCGAACCAGGAATTCCATGTGAAGCCACAACTAGAAATTGAGGACCACAGTCCAGTCTTCAGTTTGTGAACTTTTGCAGCGCGGTCGTCAATTTCACTTTGTGCATTTGAACGATGAATATACTAGGCCTTTTTTTTCGTAGTGAGCTTGTGAGCTGTATAGTTTTGCTAATGGATATGCATCATTAAGGATTTTGCAAAGATATCTCGTTCCATGTGATATTTTGTTAGTTTAAGAAGTGTTAGTACCTTTGTATATGCTTAAGTCATTGTGTTTGACAAACAAAAACGAGCTATCAAAATTGACACTTTCATTCATTAAGTCATATAGCTAGTACTTTATAATAGGTTTATATTTTAACAGTTTGTTAACAGACAGTTGGATCCATTTAAATGAACTATCTGAAGAGACAGACATGTGCAAAAAGTGTGTATGCATTGTTTTGTTGATTTGTTGTTTTTAATTTGAATGGCGTACAATATGCACTGTGCACATACTGTGCGAGGAACAGAGGTGATTGTAATTGGCTCGTTGAGCTAAACAGCTATCTTGTTCATGCACAAAGATGAGTCATATTGCGTTGCATCTTGATTGATGCTCTGGTTTGACTCGTTACATGACTGTTTTACTCAGAACAAGCCACCTCTGCAGGACGCATATTGCATCACAAGTTGCTGGCACTCTAGAGAAAGCTTCTTTACGGAGAGTTTGTTACTAATGTCAGTATTCTTCTTGCAGCATTGAAAGACCAGAGGGCTGTTCTCTTAGCATGTGGACGGGCTCACACACTAGTTGCCACAGGTAAGAGAAGGCACTTGTAGGCTTTGTGTTCTTTCAAGTTGAAGCATTACATAAATCTAGCGACCACTGCTTTTTTCCCCCTTTTACGTCAGGCAAATGAGCCGATAAATACTTCACTGACGTCTTATTTATCCTGTGAAGAGGAAGAAGCATTAGTAAACCTCTTCGCAATACTTTGGTCATTATGGAACGTCCAGAAAGTCAGCCAGTTCAGTTACGCTAAGGAGAGCTCTCATGAAAAACTCGGTTAAATTAGTCTGGCATCTCCAGTTCATTGCATTGTAATTGATCATAGTGTAGTGATTCTAGGTTTCATTTCAAGTCATGTTGGAGCATTTATGGTTTCATTTCCCATTTGTCAGACACCAACCTGCCAATTAACAAAGAATTTCAATAACTTGACTGTCAGTGATCCTTTATAGCCTTCCAGTTTCTTTAATGCTTTCTATCAGGCGTCTGCAGCTGGGTTAGTATTTTTTGTGGCTGAAGTATTTTCGGTCCACAAATAATCCCGGGCTGAATAATTTGAGGCTTAACTTATATTTCTTCCCCTCTGCTCTCTTCTTTTTGACTGCGTTACTTCTGATTGTTCATGTAATTTCACCTTGGTGCCCCACTACTTTAATGTTATGTGTAATAGAGACAGTCTGTGAGCAATATATGGTGCCGTGAAATCTCTATGTACACTCTTCCATACACTTTGTTTGACCAAAGCAGTATGGTGTATCTATGGCTAGTATTGAAAATAAGGTGCGAGCATATGGGGCTCCCATGTTTGCCGGCCTCCATGCTTTACACCGCCAAAGTTTTCAGAAGTGCACCTCTCAACAAATACAATCGGGTGGATATCATTGAGTTCAATCGTATTGACAATTAAGACAAGCCACAATCGTGGAAAAGCCCGCTAGCCAAATTCCACATGTTCTCTGCTGAAATTTGTAGATGCGGAGACGTAATTTTTTGTGGGGAATAACTTCCTGGTACTAATATGCCTTTGCGTACCTCCCATGGTGTCAGATGACCATCGGGTGTATGGTTTTGGCGTCAACACCGAACACCAGCTGGGGCTCAACTCTCAAGAATTTCAACACCCGGAGCCCGCTCTCATCACCGCACTCACTGGGCTGCAGATAAAACAGCTGGCTGCTGGGGCCGAGCACTCCGTGGCACTTACAGGTATGCGAGCGAGGTCGAGTTTTCTATTGGAAAGTGTGGGTAGGTGTACAGTCTGAATCAGGCCTGTCTTGAGCGGCAAGTTTGCTGCTTCAGCTGCTGTTGTTTGCAAAAATATACAGAGACTGACACCATAATTATAGCAAACATTATCATGCTCCCTGCTAGGTTTTGTACTAGAATTGAAGCTTAAACAGAAGCTTCCATCTAACGCAAGGTAGCAGCTGCGAATGGTGACAGCATCCCAGCCATGCACTTAACTGCCCTCTACAAGTGTGATTTAGACTGCACCACTGAGGCTCACGTTGCCTGGGGAAGCATACATACTACAGCAAACGTGGAAGTATGGCTTTTAATTGTCAAAGAAGTTTAAGTATACAGTCACCTTAGTATCGCTGATGAAGCGAAAGGAAAATTATATTAGTAGAAGAAACAACTTTCTGCCGATAAAGAAACCAGAGTCTCTGCATGGGACCGTCAAGCTCCTGTGATGGCTCTACCTTTGCGCATTTGTGTAGGTGTTTCTGCACTCGTTCTTAACCTAGCATTGACAGTGTTAATCAGTGCCATCTTGCGTTCATGACGCAAGATGTGGGACGTTGTTCATCGTTCCTTAGCTTCTTATGATTCTCTTCCTTTGTGTATTTATTGAGTTTGCCCGCATCATTGCATGGAGTAAGAAGCTCAGTGTAAAAAATCATTTCAGACAAGGGAACGGCTTATGTCTGGGGTGGCGGCAAGGAGGGCCAGCTGGGTCTTGGGACCAAGGCCACGGTTCCCTCGCCCCTGGAGCTCAAAGTGGACATCAGGATAATGTGCGTTTCGACGGGCTATTACCACACTGCCATTGTTTCAGGTGGGTGCCTGCAGCAGCTTGTATCTTCACGCTCAAGAATTTCAGGGTGTGATTTACAAGATAGCCTTGGTTTTTAAAGACGACCTGGAATGATAAGCTAAACTTTTACTGCATAAAGAATTTCTCCCAAAACTGTTTCCAAAACAGTCTCATTAGGTTTTGCTTGATCTATAATCTAGATGTCCTGCTCTCATTTATTTCTTGTCAGTGAAGTTAGAGAGAGGAGTGTATTTAATAAAAGCTGGCATTCCCAGTTGGGCAAACTTCCATGCATTCTCGCTAATGTACGGCTGGTTAGTTTGAGATGAGGATTCTCATTGAAATAAAGTGCCTGAATATGAAAAAAGAGATTCTTTCAAATGCTACTGCTGTGGAAGTGTAGGACTGAGATTTTTTACAGAAAAGCTTCAAGTTTTCATTATGCAAAGCGTTGTGACAGCTGCTGCAAAATAATGTTTCGTAGCAGGATGTTACGCGCTTCGGTAGCTTTAGAGCTGATTGTCAAGATGCCATGACAGCCTGATTGGAAATGTAGAATCATCCACTGAAGCGTTATACCTCTTCTTTATAGATATTTATTGTTAATCTTTGGTGATAAATTATTCATTGGCAGATGTTGACTCAAAAGACTTGTGGAACAATCACAGACGAGTGATAAGTCATTGTCACTTTTTTGACAGTTGATGGCATTTTGTACACATTCGGAGAGAGGGACGGAGGAAAGCTCGGCTTGCCAAAAACTCTGTGCTGCAAGCGCTACAACAAGCCGACAGAGGTCTCGACGATCCCAGGAAAAATAGTTTCGGTCTCGTGCGGGGGGACTCACACAATGGCGCTCACAGGTTGGCACCTTCACGTTTTTGATCACTCTGTTGGTTTTTCCGATTCAGCCCAATGAATGTACACTGACAATTATTAACAGCAAGTTCTAGATGTGGCCAGTGTTGACTAGGCACACTTTTAAAAATTACTTGACAGGTAAGACAAAAGCAATGACAGCAGACATAAAAAAAAACATTCTTAGCATCAACAGTGTATCAGACAAAATGTCGTTTTTTTTTATGTGGAATTCTATGCAATACACAGATCAGCATAAATCCAGCTTCAATCAAATAGAAATTCCATGGTGCTGTGCACAATTTAGCATTACTACTTAGCGTTACCTTGCATGAAGTTCTGTTATCCTGTACACAGTATCGATGCACTTGAGGGGTCATTGAAATCTAAGATCGTTACCTGTGTGATTACTACAGAAATAAATGCAAGAATCAAAAGTTTTTTAACTAGTCATTGAATGCAGGGATAGGAAGTCTGTTGTTGCATAGGTAGCATCTTAAGACCCTCTTTTTCATCACAATGCATACTTCGTTTTTCTGCGTTTAGCCGAAGGAAAAGTGTATGCTTTTGGTGATGGCCGGAATGGACAGCTCGGGCTTGGGAACAAGACGCTGCAGAGCAACAAGCCGCAGCTGATTCCATTTGTAGAAGGCATCAAGATTGCGAAGGTCGTCTGTGGAGAAAGCCACACTGCTTTTCTCTCGGGTGAGTTGGATTTCATCGTCCAGATAATCATTTGTTGTATGTACAGTGCATATTTCTGTCCAGCAGACTTCAAGCTCGGTGTTGGCGGCTGCCAACATTCCGGCAATATGTTATCCGTACGTCATCACATTTCTCATTTATTTAAAGTCTGATGAGGGAAGATATCTCTAGAGAAGTAGTGAAAAATGATCAGTGACGATATTATTATACGACTTATATATGTACTAGTCACAAGTCTAGAAAAAAAATACAGGTAAATAAATGTTAAGTGTAATGAAGTGAATGTCAACTACAAAATTGAAGACTGTATTATCCGGCTACAATTCACTGGAGGGGAAATTCACTAACGCTCTTTTGTTCATATTTAGGTGCTCCGACCGACACTACTCGGTTGAAGTTATACTCCCAAGGGCTCAGTGACAGTAACTCTTATGCCTCATGTGTTACTGCAAGACATTACAATAATTTGAACGTTTTGTATACTGTCGTTTCGCTGCAAGCGCAAGCAACACACTACGCAAGAAAGACATGAACGCGGCGAAATTCGCACTCATATCGTTGTGTTCTTGTCTTTCCTCTGCGCGTTGTTTTCACTAGCGACAAAATGTCATACAGCAAGCTATGCGAAATTGGGCTAAGAATTTCCCCTCCACAGTATTTTTGTATTTATTTATTTAAGGAATGAGGTTGATGTGAAGTAGCATATTGAGGCCGTAGAGTTTCCTATAAGTACACCGAGAGGGAACTGGCGCTAGTGTCTTCTGGAACTGCAATGCATGGTGCTTCAGCGAGCTTGGGAACGATAAGTAGTACACTAAATTTGCCTAATCTTCGTACTCTTCCGCTCTGCTTGGCTTCGCGTGGCTTGGAGCTGCTAGCTGCTTTGTCGCAAAACTACAGTCAGCAAATGTTCAGCAGTTGCACTTCACTGCATTAACCCTTTTAGGCTCACCAGTTCAAGTTGGCTTACGAAGTTCCCAACAGTTCGTTCTTTTACTCAAAACAAAATGAAAACACAGCAATATGAAAGCCACGAGTACTTACGAAGCCTGCAAGCACGAAGACTAGGCGAATTTTCGCACTTCCCATCATTTCCACAGGTGGCTGAATGGTTGCAACACCAGAGTCCTGCTCTAGTTAATTTTAGGAAACTCAATAGTTGAGGCCGCTGTACAGCGAGATTCACTTAACTGCGAAGTATGTGAATTGACATGCGATGTGTTTACTTGGCGTTGTTTACAACCTAGAGTAAAATCACTTTCCTTGTTTATTGTATCTACAAGATAATCTGTATACAAAGTTGGCATGTGCAAGCGTTTGTTGTATGTTTGTTTCTCTTGGCCTAAATGTTTTATGAGTCCTACACTGACTCAACCGTCATTGCATGAGCATGAAAACTATCACTCTGCGCCGTACTGTGTCTCGACGTAGTATTAGGGTGTGCTTTAACCTCACTGTTTCTGCCTCTAATCTGCGCTCTTCACTCTTACCTCGTTTGCTATGTGCTTCTACTTCATAGCCAACAACCTCGGACCTCAATGTGGGGATAATTTCATATCCACTCATCTGTTAACACTCCTTGCTTGCTTTAACATTGCAGATAAGAGGCAGCTTATGACGTGCGGAGATGCCCGCCACGGAAAGTTGGCACTGGTCACTAACGATGCCTCTGCAAACCAGTTTACGCCAGCCTTGGTAGAGGAACTGCTTTCATACCAAGTCCAACAGGTGAGTAGTTAACTCTGCTAGCATTTTGTTTTTACAGTGAAAGCTGTTGTGAGATCACAACTCGGGTCACGCGCAGTTGTCGTGCCGTGACAACATCGCACGAAATTAGAAGAAAAAAAAAAACCTAGCACAATTGACATAGTGGGGCCTGAATCCGCTGGGTGCCAGCCCAGTATTCTACCACTGAGCTACGCCGGTGCGTGTGACTTGTTGGCAAACTTGCCTTAGGCAGGCTTGATGTCGGGAAACAATCTCGTTAATATGACTTGCAAAGCGTTTTGAAACAGCGAAAGAACAACCAGTCGTCGCACGACGTGAATAGCAAAATGAGTGGGCCATCCAATGCTCCAACCCATTACAAAAGCTTGTTCTTGTTCCCCTGTTAACTGTGGTGCATACCCACTGCGGCCATAATTCCCCATCATCGTCAGCTACTGCGTGAGCGATTGGCACAAAATTCCTTGCAAGTGTTTAGCAGATACCACGCTTCTCAGAAGAATGACGAAAAATAACATAGTAAATGCCAACCTACTACCCCAAAAATTTATTATTAATGCCCTAGTGGGTATCAAGCAAGTGTGCTTGCAGTGGTTACCCAATGAGTGTTTTACCCAATGAGTGAAAGGCCGCTCTTCTAGCTTTCGCTGTGACTGTGCTGCACCTTACGCGCAGGCCTGGCGGTTTGTATTTTGGCATCCTAAGCCCTTGACTGCAACGATGTATCGTCCCGGTTCTTCTTCCCTGCTAGGTTGCCTGTGGTGGCTGTCATACGCTGGTTCTTGTCATTCCTGGATCTGGCCAGGAAGTCAACGCAAATAATGAGATTGGTGCTACAGGTGATGTGAATGGGGCACGTGCCAAGAGGCGTCATCGAAAGGTTTGCCTGAATTTCTGCTTTTTTTCCAGGCAGCAGACTGACGAAGTGGCTAGGCAGATGTTTGTTGGATCGATAATATTTTGGCTCACTGTGGGCTTACTTGGTGGATTGAGGTCGTTAAACTTTGTCTAGAGCCACAGTAGTGTTTTATTTAGGTTTTGTGTAATGACTGCCTTCGCTTATTGAAAAAAAAAAAAAGAACAACGAAGCAGGAATGACATACATAGAAATTGCCCAAATCTCTCATGTTATAGTTTTTCCAAACAGCGCAGAGACGGGACACAGAAGAGACCACACAACACAGGCGCCGAACTCCAACAGTGATTCGTTGCACACCAACAAGCCTGCTGAGCCACCATTTCGAACTTTTATGTTGTCTTTTCAGACTTTAGGGCGTATGATTTGACCAGAAATGGTAAATGTAGGAATAATAAACTTTTGTGGGTGCAATTAGTCTAATAATGTCCAGTCACCTTCATGTTTGAGAAAACATTGTTCATTGAATCACGAAAAATTCAGTTTTTTTCATGTGACAAATTCCCCATGTGAATAGGAACTGTGCTTTTTATTTACATGCTGCTCTTTTCTTCACATGCTGTTCTTTTCTTCAACTCCAATATTTGTTGTCACTTTTTCTTCGGGTGATATGTCACCACCAGTTGCCACTGCAAAAATTAAGGGTTATTTCTTTAACTAATCTCTTTTTTGTTGTTTTGTTTGTCTTCATCTAGGCGGCACTAATTGAAAACGAACAAGACGAACCAGATGCCTGCGAAGAAGGTCGGTCTTCATCCTGGCATTGTTACAAATAACACTGTACGATTGTGTTAACCATCACAGCTTACAAGTTGAATTTGGCCATGTTGAGATGAAATGCAAAAATGATAATCTATTGTGCATCATAAGCATGTTAAGGGAGTCATATTTCAGGTTGATTTTCACCCTTTCAGTACAATCGCTATCATCATCGTAACCACCGTGCAGTCGTGACGCATTACAATGCGACAATTTGAAATAATTTCCTGTTTTATGTGCCTTTTCTTCTGGTATAGATCACCATAACATTTTTGTTTTGCTATTACAATGTTTATAAGTACAGTTGACTCTCGTTAATTCGAACTCGAAGGGACCCCTGAATTTTGCCTAAATTATCACGAAGTTTGAATTACTATCAGAAGTTCTCGGATATATGACTGGGGGCAAAGTGACATATTCATTTTATCGCATTTAAAAAACTTTAAGTGTTCTTAAACCCTAACTGCACCCAATGAACAAAAAGCAGAGGTGTAAGTTCCACAAGTTTATTGGCCATTTATTGCTGTTCTGACCTTTTGTGCCTTCAACACAAAGCTTTCTATATCTCTGAGAAGCATCACAGTTTACCGTGCGTGTGCTTCATTTAAAACATTTGTTTACTAGCAAAGCCTTTTTCCTTGAGGGTCTGAGGCACTTATTTGTCATTTCTAGACTTTTAGGATTATATAAGCACACAAATTTTTAAGTAGTAGTGGGAAAGCAGCAGACATTTCTCGGTATGGTACTACTGAAAAATGTATGAATTAAGCAAATGACGAGTTTGAATTAAGAGGCTTTTAAATACGTTGAAATAATAAGAGTTCAAACCAAAAAATAGAATTTTGTTTGGATTAACAAAAAGTACGAATTATCAGGGTTTTAACCATCACAAGTCTACTGTATCTTCAAAAGACTCAAAGTTATGAGGGAATCCGTCCAGACTTTGAAAAAAGGCACTGTTGACTTATCAAGCACATCAGTTCTTAACGTTTAAATATTTGGTACTGAGGACAAAGGCTTCTGAAAATATCTGTTGCTGAACTTTGGAGAGCAACACTAGGACTTTCATAACAGTACTTGATATTCCACACAACGTCGTAAAAGGGACAGCAAAGGCAACTATAAAGTCAACGTTAATTGTTGAATTGTCAGTCCAACAACCTTATAGTGTTACTTTTGCGCCAAGGAAGGGCTTATTTTAAATAAAATAACGTTTTTGTGGTCCGCATCGGGTTACCGCACTTAAAATTATCCGCCTCAAGCAGAACGTCTCGCGTCACTGTTGCCGTGCGCTACGTTGCCTGGCTCTACTACGCAGCCGCCGACACTAGTAGCAGCAGAGACAAAGTAGCGGGAGCCACAGCAGCAGGAACAGACATTCAACCATTTTCAGCCATGGCCTTTAAAAATGCAGGCATGCTTGGTTCAACTAGACACCGCTAGATGGCATGACCTGTCCAGTTTAACCACGCGAAATTTGAATTTTTGAACCACTTGCGTCATTCCCCATAGTAACAAACAGCGGTTCTTTTTTCTATGAATCAAACTGAATAGAACAAGCAGCATTGTATTGAGTCTCTGAATGCACGGATGGTTCTTTATTTAGTGCAGCTAGATCGATTACTATTGATTAATTGTAGGCAGTTCGTTCGACATCATCGGGATCACTTTGCGAACGTGCTACTGTGGCTCATCTGTTCTCGTGTGTTTACCTTAATTTCTCGGTAAGTAGGGCACTGCCGTTTAAAATATTGTCGTTTTGGATGTTGTCGTACATTGAGGTTTCAGTCTGACGTAAATTGTTATTTTACTTTGGTGGTCCCTTTAATTTTGCTAAAAATAACAAAAACAGTCAAATCTGCAATGATTTATGCAAAAATTTATAATTAAGGGGTCTTAGATTATCGAGAGAAGTGTTTTACAGTAGCATCTTGCCAATATGCTTTGTGGGAAACCAGGAAATTTGCCGTATTATGCAAAAATTATGTTAACCAGAAAGGTTAAAGGGAGACTGCCACAAGAACTTTAGCCTCTCATTTTTCTGCTGCAATGTGTTGCTGAGGGCCTGTTAGTCATGACAAGATACATCGTTCGTTGCAGCATGTGACAGATAATTAATTGCAGGCCCCTCATTATCGACCAGTTTAAGCTTTGATTTAGGAGAGCTCCAAAAACAGAGTGTCATTATCGCCACATAGCGTGTGCAGCTCTTGGTCACGTCAGCACACAGAACTGCGACACACTTCCGCAACGTCCGCATCAAGGATTACTTTCGAATAGGAAATGGGACTGCAATGTCGCCAAACACAAAAATTTAAAACGTGCGCCACGGCCACACACTCTCAACCAGCCGTCACGAAGTATAGACTGCGGGAACAATTGCAGCAAATGAAAATGGTGCCTATGACGTCATCATAACTTGTTTTATTGACTGCAGTGTGGTGATGGAAGGGAAGTAGGGGATCCCCAAAAGGTCCTCTTCGAAGGTGTCAATGACGAGGTAAACTTGAGAGCACACGCAAACTTTAAAATAAACACCTTCCAAGCTATTCGCTCTTAATATTTTGCAGACGATATAGGAAATACGCCAGCTATCTCGGCTGCAAATTCTTGTGTCAGTACCCCTTTAAAAACAGTAGGAAAATAACTATACTTTGTCAGCAAGTCACTGTTATTGGGGAACTTTGAAGTATCTAGACAATTTTCATCCCACTTTCTCCTTTTTAATGTCTGAGAGTAAATTGTTCTGAAAAGCTTGGGAATAAGGACGTATTATACAGAAATTCCACTGCATGTGTTGTTGAAAACTTTGTGGATTGCACTTTGTAATAACCCTTCATTCTTAAGATGTAGTTTCAACAAAAATGCTCTTGTCGCCTCAACAAAAATGTTCTTGTCGCCCTGAAGTTAAGCAATTGTCTTTGCCTCAGATTCGCACGTTACGGCGAGAGTACTAAGCGAAACGAGTCGGCAACCACGAAAGGCGCCGCTACTTGTGGAAGCTGCAACGGACACCAGTATACGTCACGTGGACAGCGACGTCAGCGACGACGACACGTCAGAAATGTCCGTGCTGAACAAGGTGAGCTCACTCCTGCTGAAGTAGACGGAAGTGGTCTCGAACCTTGATGTAATGAACCCGGATATAATGAATTATCGGTTACAACAAAGTAAATAAGGAACAGCTCTGTCATACAGTGCTATAATTGTATATTTATAAAGAATTTCCCATATAACAAATTATTTTTGTGGCAGGTGTGACTTTCGTATTGTAATGAGGTTTCAGTTTAATTTACAAATCTGACCCAGTGTGGACCCATCTAATCCTGGGAGCTGCTTTTGTGTTTGTATAGTTCCTTACTTGTCCCGCATTTTTTTTCTTGGCTTTTCATTGCTTGAGCATAGTATTTTCAGTCTATGTCATGGCACTTTGATGCGTCGTAAAAACATGAGCAATTTTGTGTAAGATTTTCAGCGAACCCACACCAAGATAACTGAGTCAAATTCTTGTCCACAATTTTCTCTGGAAGTGATGTACATTTCCCGAAAGTTGGTACAAATGCGGCGTGATATTTAGTGCTAAATAATGGATTGTTACTTTCTTGGTGTTAATGGCTTTCATTCATGGAAACACAAATATTGAGTAACCTTCCTGGACAAAGTGCAGCCAGCTTGTATTAGTGATTATTGTTAAAATAAGTGGCTGATTCGAGCTTATTTTCATGTATTTGCCAAGATTTATGCTGGCTACACTCCAATTCACGGTGCCAGGGTTTATCTGTCCTGACACATCTTTGCTTCAATTCCACGACTTAAGCAGTCACAGTGAAGACCGTGGGTTCATGTTGATTGTGTGTAGCCCCTCTAGTAGTTGGCTCGGATTCATTACGGGCCCCCTGCTTATTTTTCTCAGACACAAGTGATCAACCACATTGGATCCAAGGAGATATTGTCTGCCCTTGATCAAGATGAGAAGCCGCCAGGGCTAAAGAAGGTAAATCGTTCACATCCTAAGCAAGCATTAATGGGTAGATGTCAATATTCAGCATGTTTTATTACTGCACTCACTTGCTAATACATCTAATGATTTATTTCTTGCATATTGGCTGTAAAAGGTGACAATAAATCAAAGAATCATATCAACTAATATCGTGGCTGGTGCTTTTTAGGATTCCGCAAAATCACCTCAAGGAGCACTTCAGAATGGAGATAAAGCCAAGCTGAATGGTCCCAAAGAGGAGAAACCCGCGGTAAGAAAAATAAATTCTTGCTTTTCACCGACAGTTCAGAGGACTTTGCTGAACAGACAGCGAACTACGAAAAAGCTGCATTCCTTTTTTTTTTTTTTAGGCTTGTGCACAGGAAAATGGTTTCATTTAAAGTGGTACGCATATAATGGGACAATATTCGGGCACTTTGAATATTTGGACAAGTATTACAGTATTTGAATTTGCTTCAACACAAATATATATTGTTCGCAATTTCGAAGTGTTATTCAAAATGAACGAATATAGTAACATTTCAGCGCATATAACCTTTCTGTAAAGGTGGCTTTTTGCGATGTACAGCTGCTTTGCTGTGAAACCACATTTAAAGGTTAAAGGTACACATTATTTTCGTCTTAATACATTTTTTAAGGTTAAAAGCCTGTTATATGGGCTTATACTATGTGATAAGTATAGTAGCTTTGGAAACGTAACATATTGTGCCAGTTTTAATTTTCACCCTACTGCTATGCAAATGTTGCTACTATTTGAAGTTGCTTGCTCTTCGCTTTGAACATTACATTTACGCATGCTCTGTCCCAGTTCCTATAGATATTGTGCAAGTTAGTCGAGTAATGGCTTAAATGCTGATATTTCTTAATACTATGTGATGTGTACTATTCCAACTAATCGATTCTAACTATTCGACCAAATGACCATTTGCTTTGAATTTGGTTTGAACCTCAAACTTGCTATGTACTCATCTCTAGTACAATAATGCTCTGAGATTCTTAGCACTGCAATTTTTTGGTTAGGGCATAGCACATCAAGCAGTGCTTGAGTGTCCACAGCATTCTGTTGCATGCTTGCCATGTTGTGGGTTTTATGTCTAGGTGCCATAGCTGCTAGGCCACATTCTGTAAGGATAGATGCTGAAATGTTCAAGGTGATTAAACAGAAATGTGCATAAGCGCATCAGGCTGCCAAATATATCTAGGAACTCTCTGCTGGCTTCTATAGCAGTTATGATTCAAGTGTTGAATGCTTGTTGTCAAATAGTTCAACCATAGTTAGTAATTAAGGAACTGCCTCCAAGACGTGTCACATGCATGCTCCATTATATGAAGTGTTCTGGCTGTCTAATATATGTCTACTTATCTCTACTAAGCATTCTGTAGACTACGAAGAGGCTTGTTTTTCACGACAGGAATTCCCCGTTTCATATATGGCTGCTTCGATAATCTTTCTGAATGTGCATAGCCATGTTACACCATATAGAACACACAATACTTTACATCATTTAAGCATTTGTGGAGTGGTGACTGTTAACATATATTGCACTGTTAGTTCAAACTTCAGGGACGATAGACAAGAGAAGCGACACACAAGCGCTTACTTGTGACTAAAACTTGAGAGTGACTGTTGGCAAAAGTCTCTCACGTGCTTTCCGCAGTGCAAGCTGAAGTTGTTTGATCTCGAGGATCCGTCCCACACCAAAAACTCGGAGGCAGTGGTCACGTATAAGCAGCCGAGCCGAATCACAGGATGAAAATGTCAGGTTTTTCAGGGAACATTTAAAGACCTACATTATTGAATCTCCCAGAAAAATATTTTAACACATGTTGAAAAATGCATTAATCAGTACAATGTTATCGACGATAAGAATGGGGTTTGAATGTCTGCTGCGGGTTTTCTTGGGCATTTAAAAATTGTGCCCCACCTCAACTTTTGTTCAATGGTCCGATCAAGTGTGCTTGCAAATGGAGGGAGTTTGCATTGGTTCGTGTATGACCCCCGTTCGGGGTGATTCGTTTATTGGCCAGCATCGATAGGCGTATTTTAGAGAAAGTTAAAGATGCGGGGGGGTGTTATGGTAAATAAAAATCTTTCGTTTTGTACATGATTGCCTTATACTGTATGATCCAAGTGATTATAGGCTCGATGGAATTTTTTCCTGCATCTTGTCCATTTTTTTTTCAAAGGTTTACAGCCCCTTGTCATAACGCACGAGTTGCCACAGAATAATAAAATCAAGTTTCTAGATTTGAGGATTAAGTTTGAAGATGAGGTTTGCTGGATGTACGAACCTAGGGGCTTAAAACCTCTCCAACCGTATGGATCTGCACACACAAATTAGTCAAAGGGGCTATCGATACATCATGTCTCGGAAGGGCGCTGAATAAATTTTGCCTGCATCAATTAGAAGTTTTCGTGTGCAAATAAAGAGGCTTGATGCTGCTGGATACCCGCAAGAAGAAATTACAGCAGTGGCAGAAGTCTTGTGTCGCAAGATAAAGAGATTTCATAAGAGGTGTCTGTAAGCCAGAGCCAAGACAAACTACAGGAACAACTAAGCAAAGTTGAAACAAAAGGCTTGCCATAATTCCTTATATCCACCGAGTCTTCGTTAATACAAAGAAGGTGGGAAGCAAAACATAAATGTCAAGGTCATCATGTCTACACCCAATAAATTATCAAGCCTTTGCAAAATGACTTGCCTAATGGCTAAGGAAAAGCAAACGTGTTATATGAAGCATCGTGTGTGCTTTGCACAATGTAAAGACTCAGTCTTTTTTTGTTTTGTTTTTTTAACATGTGGCAGCAGATACGTGGGAGAGACCGGGTGTTGCTTAAACAACCCTCTCAGAAAGCACGCATACGATGTCTGGGGATGTCTGCAATGTCTTGTGGCGACGCGCTGCCAAAGCTGTGGTTGTGCACCAGAACTTGAAAAATGTGCAGAACATTTCACTCATGCCGGTCAAAAGCGAGAAATAGTAGAAGCAGTAGAAATTGCCAAAGATGATAGCCAGTGTATCAGCGTGCATTCCATTGCATTGTTAAAAAAAAAAGAATTGTGTTTTAGGTGTACCACCTTATAGTGCCTTGCGATTTCATAACTTGCATTTTTTATACTATGCTTTTTTATAAAACTGATAAATGTCGGGCCTCTCCTGTTTCTGATGAGATGTCGGATGCTTTGGCGTCTGCCAGGTTCCCGTTCCAGAAACACCAAAGAAAACGGTTTCACTGGCCGGCCAACCCAAGACCGACAGCGAGAGTGAAGAAAGGCGTGACAAAGTTCGGTGGCTTCCGGCACACAAAGACTCGCCGAAACACCGCAAGGAACTGGAACGAATGGCTGAGAAGGCCGCCGAGAAATCCTCTGAGGACTGCTCAGACAAAGGTAAGCCTTGCGTTTCTTACTGGTGTTAACATGCATGTGCAAACGGTTTAGCACAACCAGATGAAAGGGTCCGGATGATTTAGTTTTCTATTCATTGTTTCTGGATTGTTCTCAGTTTGTAGAATTTCACCCAGTGTGAAAAAATATATATATTGATTCCATGAGCTATCATGTTGGCCAAGACTTTCTGACAGGTGAAATACTGCCTTTTTGATCATCTTGCATACGTTGAATAGGCAGTGCCATCAGCACTGTCACTAATTAACTAATGCCTGGTCCTAGGGGTTGACATAAACTCCATTAAACCACTGTCACATCATCGGCGGCCATTGTAATACAGCTTTTTTTTCTCTTTTTTTTTTCATTTCTCTCTTAAATAACAGTGTTAGACAGTGCTCTTATTAACATCACCGTTATCTTGTTATTCAAAAAGGAGTACTAATAAAATGTATTGCGGGAATTTAGAATGCTGTGATGGAGACATCAGTGAGCATTTGATAGCTGTACAAACCAGGCCCGACTTGCAAACTATTAAAAAAAAAAGCTTATGACCAAATGTAATACTTCTAAGGCGCTACTTTTTGTGTCTGGTTAAAGAAACGGGGGTTTATTTTTTCTGTGTCTCCTGGTTCTTGATGTGCAGGAACGCCAACAAAGCGTGGAAAAAAGAAGAAAGATGCGGAAGGAGACAAGGAGGCCTCTAAAGGTACCCGCGACGTTTTTTCTTGGGCTTCCAGAACATATGAGACACCAGTCTTCGCAACTCTGAAACATTTGTGGCAAATAAAGTTTTCTCATTATCTGTGAAGTAGCTGCTGAGAGAAGGAAAGTAAAGACTACTATGAGCAGTACTACCAAGTGCACTACCAAAAGCAGTTGCAAGCTTTGCAAACAAAGAAAACAAAGCAAAGAAAAAAAAAACAGAGAAAGCAAGGAACAAAATACACTTTGTGTCTAACAAAGAATAAAGGGCCCTTGAATTTCCCTTCTTTCGCTCATTGAAAGCATTATTGCAGTTTTTAATGTTCAAAGTTCACCTTCGTATTCAGCCCTACGCACATTCCTGTGCGGTAGAGTGCAGACGAAAAGCTATTGCAGGGCCCCTTTACACATTCTCGCTACTGAATGTTTTCAATAATGCCAAAATTGGAACAAATGTGTTTGTAAAGGTGAGGAATGCAGCTAAATTTGAAGGGAACATAATTGGTATTTTCCCCCTAGACTACAATTTATGAAATTCTTGGGGGCGAGTCAAACAAGTGAGAGCATGGAAGTTTAAAGGTATTATCATTATGCATACATTCCAAAAGCAAACCATCCATGCAAGATAAGACTGCGAGACATTTATACCTTATTTTTTAAGCCCATGATGGAGTACTGTGCTAGTTTGCAGGGAATTGATGGCTAAAATTTTCACTACTTTCAGATGGAAAAGGAGATGGAAAGGATTCAAAGGTAAGGTGACTGACATTCTAAAGCTAGGCTAGACAGCCGTAATGACAATCCCTGTCGTAGCACAATTTTTCTTCACTTGCAGTTTCTTGTCCCTCAGAATTGACGTCATTTTTATTCGGTAAGCTAAGGTCGTACTGAGTAATTAAATTTCATTGATCAGAACTTGAAAAGTATCGCAACATGTTGTCTCAGGTTGCAAACTAAGACCTGCAATGTCTAATTTTTGCCTATTCTTCATTCATAAATTTAAAGTATGGATTCAATTATCTTGTTAAAAAAAAGTGGCTTTGAATCATGAAATGAAAATAATGTTCGAAATAGGCTTGTACAATCAGCATATGAGAGCGTAATCTCATTCCTGCCCTTAAACATTTCTTGTCCAGTTTAATGAAGGCCCGACTATAAAGTAGTATTTCACAATATCCCACTACGACGCTTAAGTCATTTAATGCATTTCTCTTGTTCCCCATTAATGAAATGCCCCTGCCATGAGAAGGCCTGCTGGCTAGTGAACGATGTGTTCTGGATGAATTCATGAAATGTTACATTTATGCTGATACATTGGTTTTCATCCCGTACCTTCCCCAGTCGTCAACCTGCGTTGTCATGTGACCTGCACACGGGTCAACCACTGATGGACGACGCTTGTCTGCCCTCGTTTCTCAACATTTTTCGACAAAGGCAACTTCATGCAGCACGCTTCCTAGCTTTTTTGTTTTTCCTCACAACAGCATCTGCTCTTAAACCTTCTTCTGAAGCAAGCAGCAAAACGATTGCTCCTGCTTTGCTCGCAGCAACCAGATGTGCAAAGAGGATCCCGTTGCATTGTCGTCTGCATCCGGTGAATTAGCATTTTCTGTCTGGTTGGTGAAGTGACCTTGTTTTAAGTGTGACTTCGTTTTGAAATGTGCAATGTTTTGTCCGTCTGCTGTTTGCTTTTCTGTTTTAACTGATGGTAAGCACCCCATTTTTTTTTTGTCTGCGTGAATGTTCGTGTTTTCTGTCTCTTTAAGTGGCGATTGTTGAACACCTGTCGTGTTACCGCTGCTTTGGAGTTCTGTTTACCAGTCTTAGGGAGCCTTGAACAACGTTGTTTCTTGTGTTTGTTTAAATGTAAGCCCCACAGCCTACCCACATTATGTGAGCCAAGTGTTTTATGTTGGAAAGGCTCATATGATTAGGGGTGGAGGCACTGCTCTTCTTTCTTCTTTGAGAAGTTAGCCAGCCCTTGCAGGTAACTGATCGTGTGTCCAGCAGTAGTTACTAAATGGTCATTATTGAGGCTGGCAGTAATCATTACAGCTGCTTATACACACGAAACATAACGTTATCGCAAATACATCGAGGTGGAGTCGTAGAACATTACCCATGCTCATGCTGACGGGTGTCGTATCATGCCCAATACGCGTAGTGTAGCGTGAAAGGCATTCCGGCTACGTGGAAGCTTCAATTCGCTGTTCCTACAATACGTACCACGGTGATGATAAGCGTGCCCCTAGTAGTGGTGACCATGCTTCATTCATGTTATCTATTCTGGAGATGACGTATTTTCACTTCATTACTGTGTAACGCTTTTGATTGCTGGGGCTCGATGTTCTATGTGATCATTGCTTACGGGGATTCGTGGAGCTAGCCCAAGCGATGAGCGGTTCCTGCCTGGCCTACCCTAAATTTTATACTCCTGCCTTGGTGCACTAAACAAATCTGTACTGCAAAAAGTTTTATCTTTCCGTAACAGTGGTGCTAACCGATGCACACCTTGTCTTTCTGTAACAGTACGTTTTGGCTGCTACCAGAAGTCTCGAGACACCCAGTTAATCCGCGTTTATTTTATTGGCTAACCGTGTCGGGCATGCTGGGAACAATCCACGTACAAGGTTTTCAATCTTTTGTCTCGCGGTATGCAAGATATGTTTTGTAAAAGTGTGTTTGGACTTGTTTGATCAACTATTTAATTAGTGAACGCACTTTACTTCAGTGCCACTATGAGATCGAGCAGCGTTTGAGATAAAATCATTACTGTTCGGAATTTTATTCTTCCAAATGATCACCCCCGGATTATTCGCTGTCGGTTTCGACGTTTACATGCTACATGATGCTGGTGAGCATCATGTAGCTTCGTCAGGAATTATTTCGTTTTTTGTTTCTCACTCATGTTTTTCACTGCACTGGACGCCTGGTTCAGGCCAGAAGCCAAAATTATGTTTGGTCAACGGAAATGGCCATCTAGCGCGAGTTGTTCGGGGCTGCTTGAGGTTAAATTCATGGCAGGTTTGTTTGACACACACCTTGGATGGCTTTGTGCTGTGCACTCGCATTGTACTTTCTGCATGCGCGTTTGTTCTCACTGAAGGGCACATGGACTGAGCTATGGTGGAGAACATGAGAAAACATGCAATGCGTAACAGCTCCTTTTTATACCACGCACTAGTTTCTTTTTTTTTTTTGTTTATGTACTTTATCAACATATGGTAGTGCGACAAGCTTTGCGAGATTTCTTTTTACTTGGCACCGATGCTCAGGTGTTGCGTTGTTGGGAACAAAGCAAAGTTCACAATTCAGCGCCGCCTGCCCAGTGCTGCGTTGCTGTACAAGGCGGAGTATATACGTCGCTTTTCGATATTTGAGGACACCGATCGAGGTCAGGCGTTTCCAAACGCTATGGGCTCAGGGAAAATGCCAAGAACTTTCAAAATACCCATGAATCCGAGCGAACTTATTCTAGCCAGACACTCCTGTACTGAGGATAGGATATATGGCTTGACACGAATGCTAGCACTTGGTAAAATTTCGACCTCTTTATTGCGCCTGGAGAAAGATGAGTGTGGCAGGTATAACGTTCCGAATGATGCATTGATCACTTGTGCGGTGTATCCACTGTGCTTGTGCTTTCAGGCCATGATTTAGTTAGAGACAAGAGATGGAAAGTTCTAGTGACAGTGGCATGATATTGGCTCGGATGCCTCCGGCCTAAAACAAAACAAACAAGCTTGGAAACCAGTCACCTCGTTGTTAGTGCAATAAGAAGCAAATGAACATATTTCCATGTTGGGGTGGGAATATGTATGAAACTGTCAAAACAGCAAGGCAGCCTAACAGACCGAAAAAATCTTTTCCCAGGCTATCCCAGTGAGATTGGATGTACACGGTGCGTCTAAATGCAGGAAGTGCTCCGTAATAACGGCTCTTTACAGCACAGTGAGCACTTCGCGACGTATTGTTGTGCCGCTTTTTGAGCAAACACCTATGGCCTGTTTGTAGCTGTTCACAAAATGCGGGATGCCGTCGCTGTTGCATGCTGCATTTTACTCGCATGTGTCTTCTTTACATCGATTGCAGTGCACACAATCTTTTATTTTTTCAGGGGTGAAGTGTGCCGCTTGCTGACTACCATTTTTCTCCGTCTCGTTTCACCTGAAGTTCTTTTGCATTTATTAGCCACTTCGTTCTTTGAGGCTGAGCCAAAGTGCACTTCAATTCACAAAGCTGGCTAAAGCGCACCATACTTTTTGTGACGCAAGTTGTGCTTATGCTATGAAAGACTGCCTTGCCTTGGTAATGCCTGCCTCCTACCTTTTAAGGCAAAAGATGCCTCAGGAGAAAAGGTTTTTTTTTTTCGTTTTTGTTTTGATTTGACAGTTCTAAGTACTACTTCGCGAAAATGTCGCTATAGCAGTGTCCTAGCTGCCTTTTTTATCAGCATCATGTGGCTTTCTAGCTAGCAGCAGAGGAAGCTCGCCATTGTCACAGGAATCTACATCACATCTTGAAGAACGTTCATTTTGGTGGTACTATCACAATGTTTAGCTGTGACTTGTGGATTAGGAAATGGCAGAGACACGGAAAACACTGCTGTATTTACACTGTCTGTGCGCTTGCAGTTACGTACAAGATGTCAAACCTCATGACGAAGTGTCGTCTGACACAAAGATACCTTTGTTACATCTAACATTCATTATAATCGTTTGTTACTCACTGATATTGGAGAGAAAAACTTTATTTACATTGTTGTATTGTATACTATCATACATTATATTCACTTTATGTCAAGATCCAGTGGTATAGCTACAAGCGAACCCTGACATGAACAAAAGACTTTATTATGCCCAATGCTTTATTATATTTGATAATTCTTGTATGCGAGAAAATCTTAATTTATGTATGTCTATCAATAATTTGTTCTGTCCGTATTCATTACATCGATCTTCAATTGTAGTGACAAGTTAGGTATATGGTAAATGCATTTTCATTATGCTATTTCTTTATTAGCTAACGAGCAACTTTTGTCTGGAGTACATTTTCCACTCGTGATCTATGTGACGAAAAACCCAACACCAGGCTGTGCTCCTGGCCCCTTCTTTCTTCATATTAGAACTCTAGTGATCCGAAGGGGTAAAGATGTCTTGGTCTATAGAGCTATATTGTCAAGCATTAAGACTGAGGCTTCTTTGACCAACAACCCAGCTATGGGTGAGGTTTCGGTAACAGTGGTGTATACATATACTTCTCTCAACAGGTGAAAAATCTTGATTCAATGATTCATGCAAAACAAAACGTTCTCATTCATTCTGGGACAAACGCGCTTCCCAGGTATTAGTTACCAAGCACAGTAACTGTACTTTTGGGACAGAATAGTAGGCTGTTGTTAGGTGGTACAGGAAGGGGGGGGGGGGAGGTATGTGTGTGTGCTTGCAGATAAGAGCAGTGTGTAGAGCCTGATTTATTGCTCAGTTTTGCAACACTTCTCGTAGAGTCATTGTAGTTGACGAGGGTGTGGCTACAGCTCGTAGAGCTGCATTTGCTTTAGATGGGTAACTGCAATTGCAGACTACAAAGGATTAAATATGCAAACAGGCCTCGCTTAAAAAAAAAAAAAACGAAGGACGTAGATGCCTTGTACGACGACCTTCCCTACCGCAATTCTTGCTGAATGTTTCTGGTTGTTTAGGCAAAGTGCAGCTACCAACAACGACAAGGTAAACAATCAAAGCTGACGACAGTGCTTTAAAAATAAGTTTGAAGCACACACTGACAGTAATTAACATTGTGCTTCAGTGCTGGAGTTTCAACTAGTCCCTTAATGATGCAATTTAACTTCTTCCTGAACTTATAAGCTTGGTTTGGCCATGTCGTATTTATATATTCCTTGATAATGATAGCAATCGAAAGCGTTTAGGTGAAAATGAAAATGCACATTGCATATGCACTTGCCTAATAAGAGTACGTAAAGCAATAGTGCATACCAAATCAATGTCAAATCCGCTCTGGTTGCATTGCATCTGTGGTGACCCCAACTTCGGTTGTTCTGGAATTGGGTTAGCTGTGGAGTATCTTTTGCAACTTATGGAATTCTGTTATTATTTTGCGGCACCATTTTTTACTCGTTCTCGATGATGAACTGCTCATTTTCTTTTGCGACTCTCGCACATGCCAGCTTGCACAGCGTTTTGGACATACCGGTGACACGTTACATGCTGGACGTACATCATCGCTTACTCGCGAAAGCAGCTTAGAGTAGTCTTTTGGCCATTCTATATTTAAGAGCAAGCGACGTACACTATGAAATGTATGATCTGCACTATTTTTGTACACACGTTTTGAGAAGGCTTCGGCCCGAAAGTCAACTGTGTTGATGGACCAAACCTTCTTATTTTCTTTTTACCGAGCCTCGAAATATTCTCGCAAGACCCTTTCCCCATTCTCCATTTTTTCCCACGTGTCGCACGCAGCTGGTGTCGTAATGACTGATGAAACCGGTCACTCTCTAATCTATACAGAGCTCTCGCTCCAGCATGCTTTGGCTTGTGGCTTTGCATAGAACTCTCATCGTGCTTCACTGTGGGTGTCAGTAGGCGGGTAGACGAAATGCACAGGGACTACCGTCTTTTTTGCTGCTGGTATTTCTTGTAATCATCTCTTTCAGTGCTGGCACGAGTGGCTGCTGTAGAAAGCCCTCTGATGTATATGATTTGTTGTGTATGTTCTACGACATATATTTACTCGTAGCAGACGACGTGCTCTGCTGTCTGCCATGCACTGTTACGAAAAATCTGCAGTCTGTATGTGGGTGTACACACTTCACTCTGCCAAGCACTGCCTCTCGGTGTTTCAGACTGGTTCTTTGTGGTATAGTCTTTCATTGAAATCATAGGAATAACGCCGCTGCTATTTCAGTGGCTTGATCACGTTGCTACTACAATCTCTAAAACTTAAAATGAAGCCGCTGGTATAGCATGCCTTTATTTTAACTGAGCTTCAAAAGCTTGTTCAAGAGCTGGTTCAAGTGAGTATGGGAAGCAAAGTCTGTAGTGAGCTGTTTGCTTCGATGACAAGCTGTTTCACACTTGCAAGCATTCCTAACACATTCATTAGGACTCTTGGAAACTATTAGTGGTGACCTGCTTTGTGAGACTTTAATGAGCTAGGTAAATTCTTAAGGACACAATTAATCTCCTACTGTATAACTAAAGTGATTAAAAATGCAAGGTATTTGCTATCAAATATGTAGTAATCTTATGCATTACAGATTGATGAATAAGTACTACATTTAAAAAAAAAAATGTATTGTATCGCAGGTACACAGGATAACGGAAACAAAGATGCATGGATGCAGCTGCACTTTTACTAAGTGGGTATGGAAACATCTCACAAAAAGTCAAATAGCTTGCACATGAGCTATATCATACATAACAGGACAAAAATAACTAAATAGCAGTGTGCTAACTACAACAAAGGCAAAGCACAAACATTAAAGAGCCATGCCGATGTTTCGGATTGAAAATAAATCGTGAAGTGCAGCTCCAAGTCGATAAGCACGTGCAGTGAGCATTCGAGCCACGTGAAGGCAATGTGAAGAGTTTTGTCTCAGAATTTCGCCATATTGCTCGGTCTATGCAGCTGTTCTTTCTTTTCACGCGATTTTGAAGAACATGATTTGCTGTTGAGTCGCTCATAGAAACAGGTTGCAATCATGAAGCAAACTGCATCACTCCCGCTTAGCGACAGCTTTCGATATTCCGTAACTGCATTTTTTTAGTTGCTGCCTCAAAGATGATGGCCCTAGTTTGCTGCCTTAAGACACTGCTGTGCCTCGCACTGGTGCCTCTTGGTCTACTGTGCCTGCAATGTTGAAAGCTGCCAATTGCTCATATTTTTCCAACGCAGAGGTGTTGGGCATTGAGTGCTCGCATTGCCACCAAGCTGGGCCGACCTCGATGAGTGCATTGTCACAGATTGGTCAATTTCCTGGGTTGCTGTTTTCGTGCAACTTCTCTCGCATAACCATCGTCCTAGTCAGCTGGCAACTGCTAGGCAAGTCAATTTGTCGAGTGATGTTGCGCCACCTGAAGAATCGTCATCGAACTCTTGCATATTCCTTGCAGAGTCGAATGATCCGTGCTGGGAACTTGATGTTCACGAAATTCAGAACTAGTCTTTTGTCATCATAATGACTCCGACTTCTTGTAACCAAGGGGGATACACGCCCTCTCTTGTTTGTCTCTACCATCAAAGACATGCCGCAGGGCTTACTAGTAAGCCGTATGGATTACCTTAGAGGGGTCAATTCTGACGGGGTACATTGTTGTTTTAAAAAATTTACTTATTATTTTGCATCCTTAATTTCAATATAGCTGTTTGCTCACCACTGTAGGATGACAGTTACCTTGAAAGCTTAATTTTGGTTGAGTCAATTCTAAAATTAAGTATAGCTTGGGGAGATTCCCAGGATGCCTTTTAGTTGGTGAAATATTCAAAAAGGCAGATTTCTGAACAAGTCATCATACCTCCATTTTTTACCAACTTCCTCAAACGGCAACATGGAGGCTTTGCCTAGACAAGAAAACATTTTCAATGATGCGTTTCATTTTGTCACTAGGATGGGGGTAGTGTTTTATTTTACTTTATAGCAAGAAGTATTAAGCTGAAATTTCGTCATTAATAATGGACTGGTGATTGCTATGCATCACCTGCTTTTGCATACCTTTGCATATTTTGATGCCACGCAGGAAATTGAGTGATTGTTACACAAGCAACATAACTATTCTGTGACAATGACCTCACTGAGGGCAGTCTTCACAATCTCAAGAGAGATGCTCTGTGTTGTAATCACACTATGCAGGTGTCGGGAGCGTAGATCTGATATATTTGCCAGCTAGATGCCTTCGCAATTGCTAAAGCAATGCATGCAACTTGCGTTTGCGAGCTTGATTGGAACCAATGAGACGTCTTATATACAGGCTGCCTGAAGTGTATGCTGTTGTAATGTTGAAAGCTGTGTACGAAATAAATATTTTACAAATGCAAACATTGCAAGGCTTCTGCGACTCCATCATCAACAAACACACTCAATGCAAACCATTAGGTGCACATGCAATGCACAGAAAAACATTAGTGAAACATGATGGTATTAGTGACCACAATCTTGCGTGCTCATTAGAGAGTGCCAACACAACACCCCAACTAATTCATCAAAGAACTCAAATTGCGTGACTCGATAGAAATATACAGACTCCTATAAAGCTTTCTTCTTTGAATTACTTAAACACTGTACGGCACTAGGTAAACGACTATACATTACCCACGTCATCATTAATGTCAGTTTGAGCATCACGAGTTACCAATGAGTATATTAGGTTATCTTGGATGATTACAGTAAAGCCTGTGCAATAGCTGTTAACCAGAAAGACAATTCCTACATTGTTATTAAACTGTAGAGCTTGCAATTAATTGCAATCCACTAGTAATAATATCGAGCAAATCTCTTTTTACATTTTAAATGGAATCTCTGTTGTAGGTTAAAAAGTGTCATGATGTGATTAACTACACATGGTATGTTCTGCAATGCACAGTTGAATTTGTGTACTCGGATTTGTAATTGGCACGAATGTATTATTTTACACTTTCATATGGGTGCATTCCACACATTTGACATACTCATTGATCGATTTGTGGGGTTTACGTCCCCAAACCACCATATGATTATGAGACGCCGTAGTGGAGGGCTCCGGAAATTTCGACCACCTGGGGTTCTTAACCTGAGCACACAGGCCTACAACATTTCCGTCTCCATCGGAAATGCAGCCGCCGCAGCCGGGATTTGATCCAGCGACCTGCAGGTCAGCAGCTGAGTACCTTGACTACTAGACCACCGCGGCGGGGCCATTTGACATACTGGCTTATACTGTTTATAGAGACTATCACTTGAATATTTATTGTATCTACTAAAAAATGGGACAGGGGCATTTCGTGACTAGTGAAAAAATTTGTTTAATGTGTTCAATTTTATACAGTGATTAAACGGGGTCAGTCCAATCACAAGAGACAAGTCTAGGACTGTTGCAAAGTTTTTCACGCAATACACAATTTTATGTTCCCTTCTTTTTATCGCTTTCCTCAATGACATAGTTTAAAAGGTCTCGTAATGAAGAAAATTCAGTTCGTCCTTGTGGCTCATTTTTCGGTATTCGTGGGAGAAATGAGCCAACCTTCAGTCTGAATTCTTGCAGCTGTAAAGATACGAAAGGAAGACACTCAGTGGCAGTGTCAAGCTTGATTTAAGACACACAGCTGTAGTAAGCGTTGTATAAAGCACAACACAGTAAAAGTAACCTACTGTCACCCACACTTATTCCTGTGGTTCTTTACAGAACAATGAATAATATGACTCAGCTGCTGGGTTTAACATGCCCAGCCAAACTCGGCATTATTTGGGCATTCAATAATGGCCCTTTTACCACTGTTGCAAGTCCTGTTACGTAAACTAGTTATGCATAGACAGCTTATTTTGCATTACAGTGAATCGGTTAAACACTTGATGAAAGTGCGGAGTGCTGTACCATGGATATAAAGCTAGTCACTATGCACCACATTAAACTTTGTGACGTTCTAATAATATAAAGCAGTTCTAATATGAAGAACAACCAGTCGGCCTCTGTGGTTACCATGCCATCTGCTGCCACGCCGTTTTCTATTCTATTCTTACCTGACTGCAGTCAGGTAAGAATAACAGTAATGATAAAAACATGTATGCAAAGTAGTACGAGTGTTCTGGACTGGAGTGATTGGTTCATTGGTCGAAGGCCAGTTCCGCGGCTGAAACATCAGCATTGTAGCAGAGCAGCAAAAAAAAAATAAAAGAACAAGGTAGTGAACACACAGGACACAGCGCTGACGCTGTGTGCTCCCGTTTTTTCACGCTGTTCTGCCACACCGGCCGGGAATGTTTATTTATTTATTGGTACTGCAATCCCCTGGAGGGATTTTAGCAGGTGGGTACAAAAGACGTAAACATCAGCATATACACCAGGCAAACAGATAGAACAGCATATCACATTTCACATAGTAGGCAGCCATATAACACAAAGCAAACAAATAACTATCACTTGCGTTTTACAACGTAAACAAACGTAACAAAATTTTACCGATGACACATCACTCTCATTTTAAGAAAAGAAAACAGAACTAGCACACAAGTAAAATTATTTTTTCAGTTCCAGACCAGCGGCAAAGGATGTTAAAGACTGGGTTGTGACTTAATGGTTATTTAAACTATTCCAATTCTGCACAGTTCTGGGGAAAAAAGAATATTTGAAGCAGTTATTGCGGGTACGAAAGGGAGTTATTGTACGATCATGGCGTTGTTTGGTGACGTAACCTGAAGAAAATGAAATAATTTTTCCAATATCTATCTTGTAATGCCCATTAATTATTTGATATAAATATGTTAACCGGGATATGCGGTTTCTTTCTGAAAGTGAAAGTAAGTTAGCTCTTACTAACAGTTCATTTACCGAGGTTCGTCCATAACTGTTATATATGAAGCGAACGGCTCTTCTTTGTACTTTTTCGACTTTATGAATGTTAGTTTGAGTAAATGGATCCCAGATCACTGCAGCATAATCAAGTATGGGGAGGACTATCGATTAGTAAGTAAGAACACGGACAGATGGAGGGGAGAGTTTCAAAGTCCCCTTGGATGTCAATGTTATCACAAATGTGGGCTCACATCAGAAACTCCCATCGCCTTCCACGCCAGGAAACAGAAAATTGAAAACCCCGTCACAGAATACAGCGTTCCTCTTCCAAGAGCTCGCAACGCTAGCTTAGAGCCGCTTTCGTGGAGCTTCTGCGATGCAGTCAAACCCTGCACATCGAAACACGAAGCGGTGAGTACAATACCCACGCGACCACAGTGAAGTCAGAGTTGGAGCACAACCCACCTCGGCAAAGTTTTCGGGGTCCCGCTTTTTCGCCTGCGCCAGCGTCATACCAAACCCAAATATTGCCGCAGTTCCGGCGACGCCAGCAAGAAACGCAGCTTCTGCAATTAAGAGCACAAATTAGTAGCTGTTGGTGCCTGCGCCTAAAGAAACTTCTAAAAGTACCTGCATATTTCTTTCCTTTACCACTGTTGCTGCCATCGAGCTCTGAATTTTGATCCATCACAAACTCTTTCAAACAAACAGCGCCCAGAACTTTGATAACACCATACTAGAGAGTCAAAGTAGTTTGGTATGTGGTTTAGTACACTACACGTGCCGACACGGCTTTATATCCTACATTTGTTTTGACATCTGCAGGCCTATAGCAATCTTACGAGTTTTGCAATTATGCTGTGGCAGCACTGTCAGGTGCAAGTAAGCACAAAAAAAAGTGTAATTTGACAGTTAAAAAAACAAAATTTGCTTTTATACAACAATACAACAATAATTTTGTTATTTTTAGTTATATTTGAAGGGAAAAGTGTTATATATGCTAAAATAAAACATTGTAAGATCGCGCCTATCGCGCTCTTGGGGGTAGGTGCCCTTCTTGTTAAGTGGGCAAAACTGCAGTTTTTACTCTGCAGCTTGCGCCTGCGTTTTTTGACGTAAACTTTCTGGCCTGCTGGTTTCGGGTGACTCGCATTTACCGTTCGCGGAATCATCGTATTTCTATCCACCACTGCTTCCCCGGCATGTAGGCAGTCTTTTTCGCTGCACCGCACAATGACTCGTCAACCGTTCTCGCTCTCGGACCGCCGTGACCGTATCTCGTTGTGTGACCCCTTTGCCGTGTGATGTGTGGATGGACGGTGTTTTCATCAAGTTTACGCGTGTCCCTAGGCCTAAGCCCGTGCTCCGAGCCACCTCTAGGGCCTCATGAGCGCTAATTGCTCGCCAAATCACTAAGAAATCACAGACTGCAAAGTGAAGACTCGAGGGGCCACCGGCAACCGACCGATGGTAGGAGAGACCTCTTACTCCAAAGTCTCTACCATACTGCCGCCCGGCGTACCTGCATTCGAGGACGGCCACTGCAAAGATAACATGCCGCAAGTCGTCAAGAAATGGCAAGTCTTCCCGGGAAGAAACAAGTTCTACTGCGACGGCAGGCTCATGATGGCGAGACAGACGGGCGTCTTCTACGTCACCGTCGTGCTGATCGTCGGGACTTGCACGCTGTTTTTTGTGTGCGAGTGAGTATCAGTTCCCCGCAACGGGCCATCGGTGGTCCGTCAGCCGATACGCACTTTGTTGTCTTCTCCGTGAACCGGTCATGTGTGTCGACGGGCCTACGCAATTAGTGGGCCGACTTCAGCGCTTCTAGGCCAACGACAATGCTCGTAGCGTGCACTTGAACGCGCCAATTTGTATCTAGCGAACCTGTCCTTCCAGTTGGTTCTTGCCGCTTTGTACTTCCCCTCCCGTAATCGTGTTTAGCGGTCACCCGTTCTCGTCCTGCGAGCACTCCGATGATTGGGTTGTGACCATGCTGACATGCCTCACTAGGATCATCGGAGTCTCCACCGTTTAATGCTTAACGAATGGCACATGGCGCGAGTGCCGAGGGGTTGTATTTGTGACCTTCGGGTCAACTTTCGGATATTGCTACGTGTCTTTGTGCGATAATTGCGGAAGTGTGCAACACTCATCAAGTGACGCGCATCGCATTGGACAGATGTGCATGCACTATTCACTCAACTAACACTCTACTTATGTTTTCTTGGCAACACGCTGCAATGTATTAGTTGAGTACGAGACGTTCAGGAATGCTTGGTGGTCATAAAGCATAATCTGTAAGCAACTGTTGATTGTCCATATTCTTTTTATGGTAGGAAAATATTTGCCGTGCTCCGTGTGCATGTATGCTCTAGCGACCATTTGTTCTAGAGATACTATGGCAGTCATAGGCTCGTTATCAGTGAAAAGTAGCATTATCCTGGCTTTCCTTTTGTTTAGCTGGTAATCCGGGGCAGTGCCAGGAGGGGCTGTTCGGCTGCCCCACCCCTGTCGTCCAAAATTTCTGTCCATGTCAATATCAACATTGTCAAAACACACAATATAAGTTTCCCGCTACCCTGCCCCTCCAAGTAAACTTTGTCGTGGGTGATCTCCCTCTCTCCCCCATTATTAAAAATAAACCTGGTGCCACCCATGCTGGTTATCTTGGGCGTTGAGTGGTTACAGCAAACTTTATGTGGATGAACGAAAGACAGCAGTGTCTGTGCTTCTCCTTCTGCCATTTGTTTGTCCAAAGTTTGCTGTAGCCCCTCAAACATACTTGCACGTTGTTTTTTGTGTGTGTGTGTCCAAGTTGGTACAAATTTCCAAAAACTGGCACCAGTCGTCGGTGGTCTGTCAGCTGATCCGCAATTTGTTGCATCATCTCGGCGAACAGGTCGTGCGTGTCGCAAGTGAAGAGGTCGCATCCTTTGTGATGCCGCAGAAGTGTCCCACACTCGCCGTCACGGCTACTAGCAGTTCTGACTAACACTCTCACATTTAAAATACATATATATACCCTACAAAGTGGTTGGGGGGGGGGATGATTGTCGTCCTAGCTCAGTTGGTAGAGCTTTGGACGTGTTATTTGAAGGAGGTCGCATGTTCGGTCCCTGCCAGCAGAGAGTTATTTTTCCGTCCACTTTACTTTCTTTGCATATTCATCAAAATACATCCCCGCAAATAAGATCCACTATTCCGTCCCGGGCTTTCTTGTCTGTCAGTTCTAATTAATGTTGTGTAATACTGTTATAATGAGCATTTGAGTGGACCACTTAATAGGCTTCAATACGATAACTTGTTACAGTTGCTGCCTTAATCTAATGCCATCATGATTGTATTCTAAGAGTGATAATTTATATGTTAGACACAGACAATAAATTTTTATTTAAATTGGTAACTGCCCCGCCGCGGTGGTTTAATGGCTAAGGTACTGGGCTGCTGACCCGCAGGTCGCGGGTTCATATCCGGCTTCGGTGGCTGCATTTCCGATGGAGGCGGTAATGTTGTAGGCCTGTGTGCTCAGATTTGGGCGCACGTTAAGGAACCCCAGGTGGTCGAAATTTCCGGAGCCCTCCACTACGGCGTCTCTCATAATCATATGGTGGTTTTGGGACGTTAAACCCCACAAATCAATCATTAAATTGGTAACGGTGACCATAAGACATACTCTTTAATAAATAAACATATCGCTGGCAGGGACATTGACAGAAATTTTTTTTGGGCTTCCCTTCATGTATGTTACTCCCAGTATTTCTGTATAGGCATGTACGCCATCCCCCCTTCCCTTTGCATATGCTACTGCATGGTATTGATGTTATCCATTACTGTTCGACCTTATCTCTTGGTTTTTTTTGTTTCGCTGCTAAATTGTCATCACTTGTTATGCACAACCATATCTGTTTTAGTGATCAACTGAAACATTGCTGTTCACACGTGAAAAATAGTGTGTTACAGTTGCAGTCTACTCGAACAAAAAAAAAATTAATTTAAGTACAAATTGTCCTAGCAGTACTGCCTGAAACTGTCTAATGTTGCGTTAGCTGCATACCAGCATTTTTACGGCTGTGCCACTTAAATTCAGAGATCGTGTGAATGATAAATATTTGTTCCATTGGAATCGCACTTATCGGGCGCATCTTGTTCTGTGCAGTTGCCCTTACCTGGCTCGTGAGATCAGCCCCGCCATCCCTGCAGTGGCAGCAGTGTTGTTTCTGTTTGTGATGTCTGCACTGTTTAGAACTAGTTTTAGTGATCCTGGAGTCATTCCCAGGGCCAGTCCTGAAGAAGCAGCTGACATCGAAAAACAAATAGGTGAGACAGTGGCCCTAGCCATGCATTGCACACTGGCATACATTCTCGACTTTTTTTTTTAGTGTGTGTACGTGTGTTTTGCTTTTTTATGGTGTTTAATTGTATTTTCAAATGCTCAGCAAAGCTTCAAAAATCTTCTTTGCTGTAATGTGAATATACATATTTGTTTCGGTATAAATAAACTGACAAATTGATATTTAACACCTGTAGTAGTTGTCGCAATAGCAGACAAGTTTGATAAATATGACTCCACAAATTTTCATTTATATGGGCCTCGGATGTGCGAAATTGTTGTGTTCTTCAAGAGTTGCCAAGTCATAGCATATACTTTTCATCATACTGGCAGTGTGGTGATTGTCTACAACGCTCAGTGTGAGGGGGGAAAAAGTAAAATGCAGAGAAATATGCATATTTCACGGTGCTCAATAAATCATGCCCACCTTTTATATCGAGTAATGTTTTGTAAATGTGAAGGAGGGATCAATGGAAACTTTTAATTGGAAATGCCTTTAAGTGTCACTCGTCTTCAAGCATGGTTTTGTGTCAGCTTGACCATTTTGTAATTTTTTTCAATGCAAGATTCAACTAACAAAAATTACAGGCACCCTCGGCAGCTTGGCGTGTTCAACTATGCGTGCGTGTGTTATAGGATCCCAGCTAATGAAAACAAGTCGAGAGCTCCTATGACGTTCAATAGTCTGTATGTCTTTCGTGATTTTTATTATTTTTCAAACATTGACATAATTGGTGTTTTAAAACACTGCATAATTCCATCATGAGTGAGCAGTCTTGCTAGCTCAGTTGGGGCATCTGAGTTGTTAATATTAACAAGTGCTCGCACATTTCTTTAAAGTGCCCATAGTTTAAATAACCGGTAGTTTAAATAATCAGTGCAGTGTCGTGGCCAATTTCACATGGCAGCACGAATTGTGACTAAGTGACCGAACGCTTCTTACTGTATATTTGCGGTGCTTATGTATCCAGCACAAATTATTTGCAGTTTCAAAACTTCTCTGTTTATTTTGCACCACTTGTCAGGTAGGGTGACATCGCATACTGCCTGTGGAAATTTAATCGCAAGCATTTAAAAGACATAGCGACTACAATTAGCTTTCTGTGTTAGGTAGTTTCATGCATAACTAAAATGCTTAACATCTACAGTGCTTTTTCTCATACATGTTTGATCTCTGTGTCTAATCTTTCTTGATTGGACCATACACAATTGCAAGCCTGATATTGCTGGTCAGGACTTGTGTAACAAAGCGTACTTCAGCATACCGTAACAGGGCATTAGACAAGTTGTCTGAAGGTTGCACGTTTGGTCCCTACCTGGGACAAATTAGTTTTTCACCCTCTTTATTCTTTTTCATTTAGATCATTATTAGCATACCACAGTTAAAACATATTAGTAATGTCTCTTATATGCATTTCTCACCATCGTTATTTGTTGGTTTCGTTAGGTTGTATCTAACAAAAAGAAACAGGCCCTCGTTCAGTCCTCCCTCTTTCGTTCACAGCATACCAGAACGTTCAAAGTTTACTAAACAGGTCATGCCTTCGCAGACATTCACCACTCCTACGCCCTTCTTCTCACTTAATGAGAAAAGCACTGAACAATCTAAAGAGTAATTTTGCAGTTAAAAAGTAAACTGCACAGCCACTTAACTTTACTTGGTGGTCAACTTTTCCGCCTCTTTGATGTTAACACCAAAGTGAGCTTTTATTCTTCTCGCGGCAGAGGTGCCAAATGGGTCGAGCTCCCCGACTTTCCGGCCACCTCCCCGCACCAAAGAAGTGGTGGTGAGTGGCCAGACGGTCAAGCTCAAATACTGCTTTACGTGCAAGATATTCCGGCCTCCGAGGGCTTCTCACTGCAGTCTCTGTGACAATTGTGTTGGTAAGCCTCCACCTAGCTTCGTTTGTATTGTTGTTCATATTGTGTGTGCTTACTCACAAATGAGATTGATTTGAGTAAGTTCAGTGTGGCGTACCTTGGTTATGTGGCGCATGTTTTTCATCATATGATCAAAACAAATATTATTTGCCAGTGATTACTTTGATCATAGTCTCCAATGCCATTAGCTTGCGGAAGGGGGAATGGATGCTAACAAGGCTGGTACTTAGGTAGGACAGGTTTCTTCTTGAGGCGGTTCTTTCTACTAACGAAAAGTTTTTTTAAAAATATGTTCTCTATGCTTTGTAATTTATGCAAATTCAAACAGCTGCTCAAAGTAATTGTCAGTCAAGCAAAGATCCAAACAATATAACATGGCATGGTATCATGTGGGAACTGTGCAGCTGCATTAATCTTAATAATTCTTTATCAATCCTTATTAATTATGAATTAGAATATTGGGGAAACTCTGTACGTTACCTATGAATTTTAGTATGCCTCTGGTGTCAAGATAATGCACTCAGATTGCCATTGATTGTGAAACGGGTTCGGTACCCAGAAAGTCATTAGTTTTTTTTTTTTATTTGATAGCAAACGAGTGTCATTACAAATATATGTCACTTGTTGTAAGGGACGTCAGCTGGGCTGTATGGCATTGTTACCACTGTTGGGCAATGTTCTGGGCATAGCATGTCCAGTCGTTTACTAGTGCCTTCATTGAAGCAGTACGTTCTACACATTCATGCAACACGTTTAAGTGAAGTGACTAAAATATTTAAGTAGAATGATTTCCTGAAAATGTCACGTGATATTTCGTTGCTACACTTTAAGGCATATAAAAATGAACTGGTTACGTGGAATCATGTACTGTAAATTAAAATACTTATGTTTTTTCTGGCGCCTGTGCTAGTTCTTTGAGGCACTTTGTTCACTGTTGTGTACACAACTTGTTTTTGATAGTTGTGATAGTTGTGGCTTGGAAAAAGCAAGGTACGTTGAGGTTCGAAGGAATTGAGCTTCCTGTGTAATGGACGATTTCATTTAATTTCGATTTGCAGCACACTATTGTGCATGATCAGTTTGCCCAAGGCACTAGACTGTTCGATGAGTAATTGAATGTGCTGCTATCTGCTAGTCACGTCAAAAGTATAATTTTTCTTTGTATGAAGTGACTGTATGTAATCGAAAGACAAATAGCCCTTTGTTTCTAGGCTAAGGTTTGGTTCTGTTTGTGTAAAAACAGAACATGATGACTGCTAGATAAATAGATATTTATCGATATACTACAGTTAATTATAGAATAGATATTATTTTTGTTGTAGTAGAATGTTGAATGTCTTAAAATAATGTTTTGTAAAATATACACTCTTGACATGTGGTACATAAAAAGTTGAGCTTCGAGTAAGGTGATCATATTTGTCTTTTTGATATTTTATGCCCCATGTTCGGATAGCTGTGTATTGCTAACACACTTCTTTTCTTTCTCTCCTTCAGAGAGGTTTGACCACCACTGCCCCTGGGTGGGCAACTGTGTAGGAAAAAGAAATTATCGGTACTTTTACGTATTCATCATTTCACTTGCCTTCCTGTGTGTCTTCGTATTTTCCTGCGTCATCACGCACATTGTCTTTGGTGAGTCATAGGTCTGCTGCTTACATTTCGTTAATGTGATCATTTTAAGTAATTAAAAATGCTTTGTTGTGATTAGTCAATGGTTATCTTCTGTTTTCCTAGCATTAAGGTTGGCAAAACCACTTTTCTGGAAAACTCTTCAAATTTATCTGACTAGCGAAAGTTTACAAAAAAAGAAAGTCCTGTTAGTTGCTGCAGATTGCGATCATATCGAAAGGGGAAAAAAAAACAATGAAAATATGCACACAAAGCTAGAATTTCAATTTGTCTTTTGTGTTATGCCCTCATATTGTGTTCAGTGGTTGCTTATTTTAGTGTTAGTACAATGAGTGTGGCTGAATGGAGCTGTCTTATTGAATCGTTCAACAAACTGAAACTACAACCCATTGGTCTTTCACATTAGCACATTGCTCGTTCCCATACATAGAACAGGAAATCATGGTTTATAAAATCATCCTTCGTAGCACGCTCACTTTGAAGGGACACTGAAGAGAAACAATGACTTGGTTTAGATTGGCTGCACTCTGAGAACTCTAATGCTAGGTGTTTCACTATCATGAGTTCATTATTAGCCGAGGAAATAGAGGTTGAAGTTTCATTTTCGAATTTCGTGCCGAAATCTCCCCGTGTAATGTCAAAAATTTGAAAATGTATTTTTCGTATTTTCATGACATCGGCTTGATGAAATTTTCTGAAAATTCGCACTTCACATGCTAGGTCTATGGCAGCCGTAGATGACATAGTGCTTAATTTTCTTTTTCATCGATTAGAAGTTACTTAAGACCCAGTAGATGCCTTGAAAATTTATGATGTCGAGTTGTTTGGTGCGGGGATTTCAAGGTGGCGGCTCCATTTACATTTTCTTTTTGCAACTTATCTCACTTTCCAAGCATCTTGTCATGGTAAGAGTGGTGTTTTCAGAATTGTGAAATAGTACTTTACTAATAGTACACGAAAAATCATTTTGCTCTTTAGTGTCCCTTTAAGTGGTGAAAGCTTGTCAATCACTTTCAGGTACATTCGGAGGAGGCATGATTGTAATGAATGGTGTATAAATGCTTAGCTGTTATCAGGCACTACATTCTCTGTTCTTTGATTGATGGCATTTTTATTGTAGTAATACAAACTGTCATAAAATTGCTTTTTTCAGTAAATATTCACATGCAAGCAGACTTTGAGTAAGTTACAAAGGCTGATGTAGCTTTGAACTTTTGATCTAATAAAATAAAGCTGTCATGCACTGTCACATCTAAATGCTTATTATTAAAAGCTATTAAGATATTGGACAGTGAATTAAATTTGTGCTCTTGTGGCTCTATGGCAGGGGCTACTCAGACATTGATGCTAGGAAACAACACATGAGCAATTCCTTAATTTTCATTATCCCCACCAGGAGTGCCTTTTGTAAACTCCAGAAACAACAAAATGTTGGACTTCATAGACAACCCAGAAGCAAACACTGTAGTGTTGTGTAACCACAACTGGTTATAGAGTTGCATGTGTGTTATAGCAACGGCATTTGGAATGATGAGTTGAAACAGTTGTTCTAACTTGTACAATTCTGGTTTGAAGTGCTTCTGAAATTTAGATTGAACGTATTCGAATTCATTGAAAAAGCAAATTTCTTGGTGTTGCCTGTTTACTACTTGCAAGCAGGGTTTTGTTTTAAGAAGTGGTTTCAATTGTTGTAAATTGTTACCGGTTTTTCACTCGCCATCTGTGTCTACATTTCAGTTGCTCGTGAACACGAGTCATACCTAGAAGCTGTGAAGGAATCCCCTGCAAGATATCCTTTTGTGCTTGTACATTGTTTTTTTATCATAATCAGAGTCCACTATGTTCGAGATTTTCGGCTTTGCACTTGTAATTATTTCTTCCTTTTAAATTTTTACCCTATATGTGAACATTGATTCTTGAAATGTCATATTTATAGACCACCTCTCTGATTGAGACAGATTTAAACACTGCTATACAGAAATTCTAAATTAGCTTATACTAATTGGGTATTGTTTGTGGACTCCAGTTTGATTAAGAGCTTAGCTAAAAGAAGGGAAACCTAACTAAAATCAGAATTTGTTTTTCTTATTTTTAATTTTTTATTGCGATAGCAATTATATGGACACTCTAGGGTGGTCTTCGCAGTCATGCTCCGTATATGCATGTATATATATAAAAAAGCAACAAAGAAAAATAATTTTAAAAATACTTTCCGGCGTGCGAAATTTGACGGGTTACCTCTCGCTTCGCAGCGCATATCATTAGCCTATGAGCCACGAGAGCGCACTTCCTTCAGCGTGCTAACAGCAAGCTATTCTAGGATGCACTGTTCACCACTTACCATTGGCAGGGCCGATCTCTAAGAGGGGGAGGGGGGGAAATATCAGCGTGTTCTCAGCATACCAACAAGATGCTGCAAAGAGCGTGCTTGGTGCCCTGCTCCGTGCGATGCACACTCGTGCGCTCGTCTCCCACGCATACTCTGCCCCGTGTTGAGTGGGATGGGAGGGGGGAGACATGCACTTACGCATGCGCATGCTTATCTGGCGGTGGGGGAGAATTGTACACCTTAGGATTTCACTGGAACGATTGTGTTGTAGTTACCGGCCGCGGCAAAGTCACTTCGCTCACTGCACAGTCCTCATGTGAGAAAAGAGCACGTTTTTCAGACACAGCGAAGTAACAACTGTGACACTTTTCAGTTCGTACTCATTTGTACCTGTGAGTACGTTTCATGCATCGTTTTTGTTTGAGCAGCGTGACAGTAGACTCATGAAAAAGGGCACTTGCACGAAATTTACCGGCCAAGGATAGCCTGCAGGATCGATTCCTGTGAATATATTGTCTGCAAAATATCGGCCGTGAATTTAATGCAGCGTAGCTAGCTCATCAAGAGTGAAACATTCTGTGTACAGAAGAGGACTGGCTTGCCCGCTATGCGTTCTGTGCTCCGTCTTGATTGGTGTCGATACACTTGCAAATAGTCATGTCTTGTCTCATTTTGTGTTGCAAAAGCTCGAAAGGTATCTCACAGGACATTTTAAAGAGAGCATGCAAGATGGAGCACTTTGCGTTATTGACGCCCTCACATGTGACCCCATGGTGACTCCCCATTTCTCTCACTTCGCCATGCTACAATTAATACGACAAGTTATGATGACGTCAGAGCCTCTTTTTTTTTCGCTGTGCATGCTCTAGTAGACTGCTTCTCGGCAGCTGCTCGCAATTCAGTGGCCGGGGCGTATGCTTTGAAAAGTTTTGTGTTTGGTAACGCTGCTGTCCCGTTTTCTGTTCGAACAAACTTCACGTGTACCATGCGAATGTGCGTTACAGTTCTGTGTGCCGACATGTCGAACGTTGCACACACTAAATGGCGATAGTTTCTCCTGGCGGCTTGTCGTTTTTGGAGAGATTTCAAACTGAAATGGACTGGTCTGTAATTAAGAGCCCATAATTAATTATCTGTAAAGTGCTCCAACAAACGATGTGCCGTGTTACGAATAACAGGCTTCCAGCTATGCATTGCATCTAAAAAGTGTGAGGTCAAAATTTTTGTGTCATTACTCTCTAAGTAAAAAGCCACAGCAGTTTGAACTAATTCATAGTCCTTGCTGCAACATTCCCCTTTATTGTGGTTAGGGTTTTTGCTCCATTATGCACTAGAGTTCAGTTGATTTTTTTTGTTTTTGTTGTGGTAGTTGCAGTAAGCTATTCTTTATTAAAGCAAATGTATACAAAAGCGGTGTGGGATCAGAAACAAAAAAAAAAGTAATGATTGGCTGCCACTTCAATAAAGCCACACTCTAATTGAGGAGGTGTGTTATACCAAAGAGAATGCCGCTTCCGTTCCTTGACTTTTCCGTCACTGTGGTTGAAGGAGTGGTTTGCTTCTTCTCTGTGTGGTCCATCATGGGCCTTGCGGGTTTCCACACCTACCTCACTACGTCCAACCAGACTACCAACGAAGATGTAAGCCGCTGCCTTTTTCTTCCCAGCCTGCGCTCGAGGCTGTTTTGTTGGGTAGATGTGAGGGAAAGTTATCGGTTGTCTGCGAACTTTGGGCGACTTGGTGTACTCGCAAATACAAGAGCGCTTGTGGTTACTTCATTCCCAGATCAAAGGCTCCTTCTCATCAAGAAGAGGCCAAGACGTGTTCAATCCATACAGCAAGGGCTCCTTCATCAGCAACTGCGCTTCAGTGCTGTGTAGCCCTGCACCTCCAAGGTGAATTATACCTAACTTTTATACAGCAAAAGCTGTTACGAGATCACTACATGCGTCACGTGCGATGCCGTAGTTGTCTGCCATTGCTGGTGTCTGTATCCACTGTCACACAAAACAATAAAAAGAAAAAAAACTCGGTAAACAAAAAACACCAAGGACACAATGAGATTCGAACCTGGGTCCCCTGCGTGCCAGCCCAGTATTCTGCCGCCGAGCCACGCCGGTGCTTGGAACACATTTATAAACTCGCCTTAGGCCTGCCTTAGGCAGGCCTGATGTCGGAAAGAAATAACATTATAAGTAAAAAGCGTTTTAGAACGACAAAAGAACAACCAGGTGTCACACAACGCGAATTGCGCAACGAGGGGTTCATTGAATGCTGCAACCCTTTACTAAAGCTTGATCTTGTTCCCCTATTGACTGTGGCACATACCCACTGTTGGGGATTGTGGGAATTACAAGAGCTTTAGGCACAATTGTTCATCATCGTCAGTCACAGAACAAAAAAAAGTGCAGAAAGTTTCTTGCAAGTATGCAGCTGCTACCCCGCTTTTAAAGAATGATGAAGGATGGCAGATGACTGGCTGCCTGCTACGCAATGATTTATGGCATAGTGGGTGCTCCGCAAGTGTGCCTGCAGCAACTACTCAAAGGGCGTTAAAAAAAGGCTCTGAAAGGCCTGTGAAAGATTCCAGCTTTCGCTGTGACAGTGCTGCACGTTCTGCGCAGGTCTGGCGTATTTTTCTTTTTTTTTTAATTAAAAAGCCACGCTGCAGGCCATGCAGGTTCAAGAGCTCAGCAATGAGCGTGCAGTATTTGCTCACTAAGTTTTGATAAAAATGCTTATTCTTTATTTGCCATACATTCCTTATCTTGCCCCCTCGCTACTCACCTTCAATAGTGAATCGAGATATAAAGATAACCATTTTCAAGCGTGAAGAAGAGAAAAAAAAAAGACAGATGCACCAAGGGACATCTGTTTAAGTGGTCGTTAGACATTATCATTGTATGAAAGAGAAAATCGTGGGACTACTATGGTTGTTAGAACAGTTGCGAACAAGTTGCTCAGAATGTTACAGGTCATTGAAAAGTATAAAATAAAGTGAAGGTCAAAAAGTAGTTCGACAACTCCACTGTATACAGTGGAACTTCGATGGTACGTCCCCTGCTTTCGCGATGACCTGCTTTTTATGACGAGTCGGTTTGGTCCCAGCAAAAGCCTCATAGAAATAATGTACTAAAAGCCTTGGTTATACGATGCAGTTTTACGCTGACCTCACATCTTATGACGACTTCCGGATTCCGTCCGAAAGAAAAAACTATCTTTACTCATACCAAGTGTTGACCGCCTATTCTCTCGTAGGTTGACGACTGGAAAAGTAGAGAGTGGGTCTTCTCAGAATGGAAAATTTATTCTCCTGGAAGTTCATGGGCTTCTACATATGCCTCGGTCGCGTGCGTACGTATCGTGGGTCGTTATCGAGTCAAGCTCTATCCACACCAAGTAGCTTCAGCCAGTCGAAAGGCTGATATCTTCACGTTTTCGGTTCGTGGAAACTTTTCCTGGTCGACATACAGCTGATCTCCTGCCTTTGCCGCACTCGCAGTCACGGGCTTATGCATGCATAAGCGTCCGGCACAGCTGTTTTTACCGTGCGAAATTACTTTCGCTTGACATCAACGTTCACAATAACTGTGGGACTTCACTAGTTGCACTTCACAAGCCTACTAATTACAAAACGCACATCTCAGTGGCGCAGAAAGGCATTCTACACAAACTCGTGGTCCGTCGCCGTTATGTGATAGCGGTAACACTGTGTCTGACCCGTCCGACGGGAGGCTGTTTGCAAGGCAGTTTCGATTTTGTTTTCGCGCAGAGGCAATTTTCGGACATTGTTTATTGGTAGAAAGATGCGTGTAAGATTGGTTTCTTTTAAGATTAACGATAAAAATTTGCTCGCACCTCCTTCAACTAAGTAACGCTGCCATTATCTGGCACTGGCAAGAATAATTTAATTAACCTTCCTTGCAGAGACACAAGGTCATGCCGTAGGCTTATACAGGTGGTCTGCACCTGTTTTTTCGGGCAAAGTTGAGTGTGACTGCCTATAATCTTATTTTTTCAATTATGCTACGGTCTTGCATGGTCCCATGAAAGTCATATAATCGGGGTCCCACTGTTTGTGAAAGCGTGTGTTCAGTAAGGAATAATTTTTGATAATGATTTAGTAAACAATTATTGTTAGTACTTCTTGATTTTCACTTGAATAGTATTGGTGGAAATTACTGAATATAATCATGTCATCACAGTGTGTGATCCCTACGAATCTTTTTGTTCTCACATCAAAGTCATTAGCTTGCCTGTTAAATGCCACTTTTTTAAATGAAGTAAGGATGCTCACTGTTCCATTGTATAGTGCTACATATTGTCAGTAGCTATGCTCACCGGGCCATCAGTTGCAGCCTCTAGTGAGCTTTGTAGCTTGTGCATTGAAAGGGAGCTTCATTACATTTCTGGTTAAATAAGGGCAGTTATTTATGCATGCTTTGCCCTGCTGTATGTTCCGCCATGAACCTGCTAGTTTCATTATACTGGTTAAATAAGGCAGTTATTTATGCATGCTTTGCCCTGCTGTATGTTCCGCCATGAACGCTAGTTTCATTATAGTTTGATGTTCGTCGCATTTTGCTCACAGCCTGATTGATCGGCGAGGTGTGGTGATTGCAGACAGTGGACCAGTGTTGAGGGAGAGCTACGGTTCTGTTAAAGCATTTCATCTATCAAGGGTGAGTCGGCACGTCTCATGTCAAGCAGCGTTTCACATCGTTAATACTAGCTTAGAGTCATGCAGCCGAAATTGGTTACAGCAGTGAAATCGCATGCGACACGCAGATACCTTAGTTATACTTATGGTTCAGCATCTCTGGCTGGACTTTCTTTTAATGTTTCTGTTTATTATATCTCCTAGTTCTTGCTTTGATCTTTACGTAAAATTTGATTCATTTAGGGAAGTATATTTGCTAAGTGACTTCTCACTGACTTTTCAGCGGAAAATTCTTCAAAGCATACCTATTGTCCTTTTCTTTCTTTGTGTGTGGAAAATTTATACCAGTTGTTGATGCTAGGACTTGTTGTATGAGTGCACATGCTACTCATCAAGACTAGTTTCTTTCATTCTGCAGAATAATAAAGATTTCTAGAAGCAGTCTCTGGCAAGTGCACAATACTGTACTGTTATGTGCCTACGCAAGAATCAAGCATGTATGATATTAGATGTAAATAAACATGATACACTGGTAACATTATGTAGACACAATACAAATATGACGAGTAGTAATTAGAAAAAAGTTAAGAGTAGAGTTTAGGGGCTCAACCTTGACTTACCATCATTCGTCTTGGCAGCCACAGTGCAAAATGTCGTGACTACCAAAACAGTGTTGAACAACAAAAGAGCACAAGAAATGATGAGCATTGCTTCTGTCGCTACCCATTGCTTTTTTTTTTTTTTTCGATCATTATTTGTGGTCAACATGTTGCATAAGAAGTGCTACCAAATAGTTCGTGTCGAAGTTCAAAAAGTGTTAGTGTACAACAGAACACGTTCCTCCATTTTTCTTTTTTCACCCCCTTGTTTCACTTCGTCTTGCATTTATATTGCAGAACGGTCTTCAGCTCAATGCGAGCACCGCAAGCGGGGCAGTTGGCCCTACACCCATGATAGACATGAAATCCAGTCACGTGCCATACGCCGGGCCCCCCTTGCATACAGGGAGGGCTACATTACCCCAAGCCGCCAATGGCTCCTATCCGCGGGACGTACTCTATCAAAACTCTGGCAGCCATGGTCAGTGCACTGCACGTCTGTTGTTTCTTGACCCTTATCGGCTTTCTCTTTCCCTTCATATGCCAGCCTCGTTTTCTCACCCCCCCCCCCTTTTTTTTTGTCTTTCTCTGCTTACTGGTTTTTGCATCTTAATGCATACTGTTGCCATGCGATCACTTTTTATAGTGGTAAGGGCTAATCTGGATCTGATTTCTTTATCATGACCAGCAACGACTGCTTCACAGTTCAAACATATTTGTCTCAAGCTTGCCACAGACATCAGCCTTATCCTGATCTTGGAGTCATATCACAATATTCTAATCGCACTCATCACGATCATAATCGAGCCCAATCACAATTGAAAGGACCTGCGTGACACTGGTATGAAAGTACTGCACTAGAACTTCCCTAATATATTTAAGCGTGTAACACGAACATGCGGTGAATGTTGAAGAAAAGTGCTGCTATGTAATAAGACAGGCGCATCACACACGGCTCAATCTCTGTAGAATTTATTCATCAGCTTATGGCTTAAGATGACCTACTTAGATGTCTGGCATTGATTTCGTGCCTTTGATAGAACCAGACCCTTGTGAGTGATTGGATAGCCTTGTGAGGGGTTCTCAGTGTCAAACTCATTGTTGACACCCGCCCTCAAAAGCTTGCGAAACGTGGGCTCCACTGCAAATGCGAATATCTGCTCTGATAGTGCACAATACTTCTACTAACCTAATGGCTAGCTGCATAAGTTGCAGGCACTACTACAGGCTGGAACATTCACTCGGAGGCTGTGCTGTCAGTTAGAGGGAATACAGCTTTCTGAAAAATTTTGTGTTGTGCAACCTCTACCTCCTCAGTACATCTACCGTAGCAGTGAAGGTTCGCAATGTGTCGGGCAGGAATGTTGTGGTAATGACATGTGAACAGGGTATTTCAGTAGACGGGTGTCTGTAGATCCTTTCCTGAAACTGTATGCCATGATTGCTATAAGCGGTAAAGCTTATTAGTGAAGAATGTAAAAGTGGGGTTTTCGCTCTAGTGCAGTCAAATCATTTTGCAACAAAGTTTCATACAACATAAAAGTAGCCTTATCACAGTTTAATGTTTAATATAATTGTACACTTATTACACTGTGTTAATGGCTAAGCTTGTCTTCATTTATTCTATTGTAGCCAATAATTTGTTCTATCGGCATTCGTTATACCAGAATTTGACTTTACATAGCGGCTGTATTCTGTACGCAAGATTTCGTACAGTTAAGGTATTTTGTTGGTTGAGCTAGTACATAATGGCAGTATCGACCAACCTTATTTTACACAGGGATTTCTGGGAGGAAACGAGGGGAAAAAAAACTATGCTGATTGGTGTGACCGTACTTACTCGATTCTACTGCGCCCTCGATTGTAACGCGCACCCGATTTCCACCGCGAAAAAAAAAAACGTAAGACATCGATTGCAACTGCGCACCCATTTTTCTCGCTGGCCCGGACGATCACACCACTCGAAAAAACGACTCCTTTCGGGAGCGTCTTCCATTTAAATATGAGGTAGGGGCGAAGCTTGTGCTCATCTGACGTGTAACAGAGCATTGCCGTCACTGTAGTTTTACCGTGGACCGATGTCAGCACACGAACTTGCTTCGCCCCCTTCTTCTCGATGGTTGTGGTGCCAGGCATGTCGAAGTAAAGAGGCGTCTGATCGGCATTCCCGATTTGCCCAAGCAGGTAGCCGTTGTTGCGCCGCAAGTTTAGGACGAACCTCTGAAAACTGTGAAGCTTTTCATCGTACTCCTCCGCAAAACTTTTCGCATATGCATGTTCCCCTTCAGAGAGAAAAGCCTTTCCTCTTCATAAAGTTAGTTAGCCAGGACCTGCTCGCTTTAAACTGGCTCTGCATTAGACCTTTTTCTAAGACTAATTGCATAGCCCGCACTTGGAGCAGTTTTGGCGTCACGGGCCGCTGTGCCGCTCGCTGCTCAAGCACATACTCGCCGAGCAGCTCTTTAATTTGCGGAAACCGACCCTGCTGTGGTCCACTGAAGCCTTTGCGTGAAGCTTTGCTGTCGACAATCTTCTGCTTTTGTTTCTGCCGGTCCCGCACGCACGTTTCGGGAACTCCGAACGACCGCGATGCGGCCCGATTTCCGTCCGTTTCTGCACACGCGATAACTTTTCTTTTAAAAGCGGCATCGTGGTGCTCTGGAGTTTTTGGAGTCGGCCCTTCCACGCCGTCGATGCTAATGCACTACTAGATGACGAACTCCTCAGCACACGTACGAAGTGCCGCACATGGGAAAGACATAGGCAGAAATGGCCGACGCGCCATGCCGACGCACGTAGGGGGCGGCCATTTTGGATTTGCCGATGGCAATAGATTGACCGTAATTTTTTTGTTCGTACTCGATTCTAACGCGCATGCGATTTATGAACTCGCTTAACCGGAAAAAAGGTGCGCGTTAGATTCTAGTAATTACGGTATGCTCTACATTTTCTTGTCCCCATGTAGCATTGCATTCACAAATCATATTGATCGAGAGGTAACCTTCATGTCCATGAAATAGGGTGTAATGAGCCTTTCCCTACCACGAAAAAAGAAAAAAGTTGTGCCATAATTACTGGAATTATTTTTTCACTCAACTTCTGAAGATTTTTTTTTCTGAACAAAACTACCATTATTTCAATTCAGTACGTTTCCTTTGTTTGACATCACTAACTGCGTATATATAAAGAAAAAAAGATGGCTTGGAGACTGCTTCACCGCTTGACGATGCAATGACAGATGGCTATAAAATGAACGCCAATACACAAAAGACACGACATGCGCAAGTGTGGCCATTTACCGTCAAGAAATTATAGCAAGTATAGTTGTAGGTTTCATGTGGGATCAGTTTTTGTTAATGCCAGGTATAGTCATCATTAGTTGTGTGAAATCTTGCAATGACTGTACTCGTCAACAGGAGGGATAGAGTTAATATTAAAAGGACTGGGCAGTGAGCAGTGAAAGGTGAAATGCTTAGTAGATAAGATGAAGTGGTTGAAAGACAGCATTGTACACCAGACAACAGAAGCACTGGCCTTCTGTCGATCTTGCCGAGATTAGCAAGATGAAGCATGAAGCTGGATGTGCCATCTCACGCATTTAACTGACTGGTATAGATTATCGATCAGACGCACTGGTACTGTACTCTGTTTCATACATCAGGTGCAATGCTATGTAAGCTAGCAACACTTCTTGCAGCAGAAGCGTTCGCTTTAAGAAAGAGTTCAGTGATTTTAGTGCCCGCTATGTGATTTCTTTCGGCCATTTTTACACTGCGTGATAAACAAAGATGCTTTGCGTCATAGAAATAAACAAGCCCTGTTGTTTATATGGTAGTTAATACATGGTTCTGAATTGCTTAGCAGTCTTTGTTCTTGCATCACGGCCTCAGGGATTAGCTCTGATATCACGCAGCGAGAGCCAATCACAAGACCACATTTGTCATGACAAACTACAAGTGCGAACTGTGAGGCGAACAGCAATGTTATAGTGCGAGGTGCACATGCAAACACATTTGCTGACCGAACTTCTTGAATTGCTTCCAAGCACTGCCCTCATCTATCAAATGAAGAGGATAATCTAGCCAGGTTTAATGCAGGCAAATTGTTAAGCTTCCTACAGTGTGCAGGTGTACATCTATCTGTATTTATCTTTGTCATTATGAAGGACAGTGTCCTCAAGGTCAGCGGAGTAAGCTGGGGATGAAGATATGTCTTGTTTGTTGTAGCTAATGAATTAAACAAAATTTAAGATGGGCTAAATACATTTTAAGTACAAGATTTTAAGTTTTCATGTTTGGTTTCATCAGCTTGATTACACATGGTTTGACAATGTACTGGTTCAAACGATAATTTTTCTTATTCTCTATAAGAGCCTTATTCTCTATAAGAGCTTATTCTCTATAAGACATATAAGAGCCACTATGTTGGTTGATAGGCATGCTTTTATTGGTCAGTGTGGCAGCTAGTGGTTTGTGTGTATTGAAATGGCAGTGTCATGCTTGTACTGTGCAGGTTGCTTTGCATGTTACACTTTTATTTTGCCTGTTTGTTGTTTTGAGCTGACTTGATTTGAAATTGTGTTGAAGCGGCTTGAATTTGGTAATATAGGGAGCATTTTGTGTTATTCAAAAGTTTGGTGATAGTTCACTCAGCATTGTGTAACTAATATTTTTGTTCAATTTGTTTAAAATTGATTTGCAGTAAGACTAAATCAGCTTGTTAGCGCTACTACCTGAATAGTTCATCTTATAAAGTTTACATGAGAAAGGATCCTTTTCATGATCCGCTCGTAAATGAAATAAATGCTTAAATATCGTATCAAGTACATTGTTCATGATTTAAGCGCTACCATGTTCTCGTGTACTATACAAATATAAAGTGAGAATTGCTGGTCTATTAAAATGAGAGTAGTGTTTATTGCTAAAGGCAAACATTAATATCTAGCTAGAGTGAAAGACGACAGATCACTGGAGGAAATGGCTACAGTTACATTGTCTTCACTTTAACACTAATGTTTCAATCCATAAGAGTGGTGCAAAATTTTTCTGTAATTTCTTTTGTGCTCTGGCATCATTTTTCCTATCTAACTGCCTATAATGTCTATTCGTAGGCACTAAGCCTAACTTCACTTAGTGGTTTGCAGTTTATTTATGTAAACAAAGGCAATGACTGAAATTGAACGATCAGTCAACCATTTGTACGGGTCATGCTTTTCTTAGTTCACTTGTCACTGGCAATTTTAAGGCATCAGTAAATTTATGTAGGTAGCACGAATGCAAGGGACAGGTGGGTGTACAATCAATGATTTGTTTTAAAAGAAGAAATTGTGTCTGGCTGAACTATTTCTGCAAGTACATTCAAGTACAATGTTTTAGTAGGTATGGATGTTTGACTGCAGTGTCACGAATTATAAGCAGAACAGAACCAATCCTGTCTTTTATAGTTGCTATTTTCCTTAACAATGCTTTGTCCTCTTCTGTA